GTCGGCAGCTGAGGGCGATCACAGCCTCCGCCGACCGTCCCCTGCCGGGCGTTATATCGCTCATGACGCCCGCCAACGCCCGGCCTGTGATAAACGACGCAATTATGCCGCAAGTGGCAAATCTTTCCGGCGTGCTATTCAGGCATCGACAGCGACACAAAACGAATTGACCGCGCCGCTGCCGGCTCGCCGTGCGCCGTCGTGATTGATACATTTGCCGCGTCGGGGGGTCTCACTCCCAATAGAGTCTGCACGCTCCATTCATTCGATTCAGACCGCGTCGAAAGGCGCAGGGTCACGTCGTTTATAATCGCTGGATGCGTGGCCCTCGAGCCGGTCTGTGCGTACAGGAATGCCGGTTGGACGCGGTTGTTATGACAACCAGGTGCGCGGAGGACGGCCGACGTGGGTTGGCATTCTCTGCGTCTCTCCATGTGAGAGCAGAGCAGAGACGGGCCAGGTAAACAGGAGTGGAGCGTTTGCCAGGTGGACGAACCTCTGTTACCGGCCGCGCGCCGTACCGTAGCCTGTCATACAGACCGCGGTCCGCAGTCCTACCACCTCGCCGTGGTCGGTCGACTTTGCATCACTCGAGCGAGCACACAGAGCACACCTCCGTATACATCACAAACCGTTTCGCTTGTCCCCGGTGTCCTGATGCGGACAAGCGCTCACGTCCCAGCGGGTCATCGCGCGACCTATTAAAGTAATTTATATGCGTGTTTCGCAAGCGCGCAATTCCCCAAGAAGCGAGCCGGGAAGTTGAATGCGCACCATTCGCCCGGAACGTGTCACGACGGCGGTGCGCCCAGGCACGTGGAGCCTGAGTTAAGCCCCATTGTCCAGCGTGAACCCCCGCGACGGGGTTAGGGCGGCTCGACATGACTTAAGTCGGCTGTGGCCTGTGGACCGCAATGATGCGGCATTGTTCGGATCGGGATTAGTTTCGCGTTTCCCTCGGAAACAGCGCGTGCGACGGAGGGATGGGGCAGTGTCTGTCACATTTCGACATAGCACAGATACGGTGGATTGGCCCAAAGCTGCAAAACTGTGTGGGTTATGACATCACAACGGCGGAACATGTAATATGACACATTAGGTGGGGCTTAAGCTTTGGGGCTAGCTGCCAGCTATTAATTCTATTAGTTTTTGGTATAAGCATATGCATAGATAATCGTTTGTATCTACTAGACTTTGCTCGATACATTTCCGACAACTTTTAAAACGTCGTTCCTTTTCAGCCTTTTATCTAACATCTGATGGCAGTTTACAGTGTCCAGTCGACTGGCCATATATTTGATTAAGCCCCGTGACGTGTCTGACTCGCGCTTACATCTTCCTCTACAACTCTTTGCAACTTATCTTATGCATGCACCATGCAAAATCGGACTGAGTAATGCGCATTACGCGTACCTGTATCGGGTGTCATCTGGGCGACCTGTCAGCGACTGTCAGCGCTCCTCGCGCCCAACTGTCACCTGTCAGCTGATTTGGTGGTGACGTCAGCACCTCCAGTGACGTGGGGACTGTCACACCCAGTCACATCTCCATAGCGAGAACATGGCCGGAAGAAATCAGCTCTGACGAAACTGAGCGCAGTAAGAGCGGGATCTAGGCGGATAGTCAGCTTACCTTTTGTCTGAGCTTCACTCTGTTCTGTGGTATTGCCTGGATTTCGCCGTCTGAATCTGAAAGGAAACATCGCATACTGTCTTTCCGATTCGTCACGTGCGAAATTTATCCGCAACTTTAACCGGTACGTCGTCACGCGACAGCCGGTCGTTGGGGTCGAGGAAATTGTAGGCCGCGGAACACTGCGGGAACTATGGTAGGCAATCCCGTTATTTTTCCAACAGGTGCACTGGGGCTTCGCAATGCCACTGCGGGAGGAAGATTGGAACGGATTTAATGTGTGCTGCTTACCGTTTCCAGAACTGTGAAATAACACGCTAAATGAGGGAGAGTCTGATATGTTGCTTGACCATAAGTTGGCACTAAATTACCATCCATTTTGTCCATACCCTGAATTTCAAATATTCGAATGCAAAAACATTTTATGGTTAACTTTAAAAATCCCATAATTGTTTGTTTTCGCTGAACAAGCTGTCTTCTAACATCACTATAGCTATAAATGTACGTTAGAAGCTGATACCCCATAACAACTTCCTTATCAAGATCGCAGGATGTTCGCTACTGTGTACCTAGTTAATGCTGTCGGATCTCTTGTTATTTCAGAGGCAGTAAATGTTTAGGACATGCCATGCATTACAACGTGCTTATCTATGTTGTAAGCCCGTATCAGCTTTTAAATGTGCCGAGATTAGTTCGTAGAGCCATTGAGCTGCTCAAACAATCGATGGGAATGATAACGGCTGGGGAATGACCCAAAGAGCACCGGCATTAATTATTCCGCTATAGGAATCTCATCTGCATTTCAGTGACGTATTTTCTGATAAGCGGCACCATGCTGGGACACGGTGCTGCAATCTCAAATATGCAGGGGCTGCATTAACAATTGACTAATTTGGTTACTCACTTTCCATTGCAGCTTTTAACTCACTTGCGTGCTTTTCTGTGGTACTCATTCTGCTTCTGTCATCATCAATTGACATTTCGGATATGATAAGAGAGATTCACAATTAGCAGCGAGACGTATGTGTCAAGTAATCATTCGATACAAACTGATAACAAATCCCGTATCGGCCACTGCGACTGCGTGCTGAAAGTTGAATCGGTGCGTGATGCGGGGCTCAGTTTCACGACGGAGTGCCGTTACGGACAGGTTTGCAGCGGTCAGGCGCACGTTTTCGGACCGAGTTGACGGTGTGGCGGTATGGTGTCGGCATATTTCAGTTAGTGGGTGCTGCGGCCGAGCCCCGGGCCCGCCGGTATAATTTACGGGCCACCGGCCACTCGTCGCCGCACAAAATTGCAGAACTTGGAAGCCAGCCACGGATTTGGAGCGAATTTTTATCAGAACTGGACGACTCGGGACAAATTATGGACGCCGGCTGTCCTTGTTCGCGCCATGTGAAGGTCAAAGGATTCAGGAGCCACAGTTTGAACGTTTAATATAAAGAACTAGCCTACTATGTGCTGCGTAGTACAGAAGCATCAGTAAAGGCACGTTTTAAGCATTTAAACAATGCACTTTGCGTCGAAGTGTGAATTTGCGATTGAAACTAACCAGCTGTAATGCGTGGTCTTAGTGTCGCCCTGAGGTATTACCGACATAGCCATAGCGTGATAAACTTGAAATGGCATTTCAGATCGCCAGCAGATATCCTTAATCAAGCCAACAATCTTTCCTCGGAGAAGCTCAGACAATGGTGCCCAATTTGCAAGTGATGACAAAAGTGCCGAAAGTGCGCCCATGTGGCGAAAACAGCTCAATCATTCAGACTGGCTGTCATAATTTTTCTAATTGAAAGGGTATCGTAATCGTATGGACGCTTATGCAGTTTACAGATTGGTATTTTGGAAAGTGTTTAATTCTGTTACATTTTCGGATATTTTTGTCATGTTTTTGTTTTTAAAAGCCTTGCAGTTGTATTCTGAATCGTTAACCTTTATCATTTTTCTATTTTTAATTTTTTTTGCATTTTTAACGTCAACTTTCTTAATAAAGTGACTCAAATTTGCTGTCACTTCCTAGCAGTCAGCAACGAACATATGCGAAATCCGTACTCTGCAGGCCGCCAACATCCTGCATAATGGATACCATAATGAGTAGGTCTACCACTAAAAATAGCTATATTTTTACGCATTATTCGGGAACATGCTGGGAAATTGAGGATATTACACTCGGCAAGACAAGTGACGAGCGCCATCTTATATCAGATCCCCAGTCACCAGGCAACGACCTTTCAGCAGATAGGCTCGACCCTAGATACCAGAAATACTCTCCTGAGTTTCTGCATCATTTCCTTCCAGGACCGACACACGATCTACGTCCCGCTGCGAGATAGCGGCACACAATTTCCCCATGGCTGAGCAGTCGTTAGGAGAGCCAGGGACGAGACATATGCCTCTGTGTGACGCCAAGGGCATCTGTGCCATCGGGTTCTGCCTGGTCGCGGTGTCGTGCGGTGTCAGGTGTCGCGCGGGGTCGCGGGGTCAGTCGGAGAATGTCCCCGGTCAGCGGGGTCGGGGGACGACCTCCGACATCCGGCCGAGGCCCGCTGACGGGGCGCGTGAGCGGCGGACGCCAGACTGTCTGATGTGTCCCGATGGTGACCAGATCAGGCCTCGTAGGCTGTTTCTACAACGCTGAAATGAGAGGTCATAGAGGACACTGGTCCATTCAGGATTTTACTGTCTCAGTGACAGACATCAGAATTGAGAAACCAGTGTATAACTCGTCAAAAGTATGGAACGTCGTCCTAAGCGAAGTCCAATATTCACGTGGCAAATTCCTTCATCCGAAGTCGCATTTTTCATTTGCAATTTGCCAGTTCTGAGTAAAAAATGGCGGCTATCGTGATTCGAAATAACCATTGGAGCCCGAGTGCAGCTGTTGAAATGAATGCATGACGAATGCGTGCTGCCATTATCTGGCACCTGTCTGTCATTTCCGCACGTGATGCCCGAATATAATGACCGTCATTAGCAGTCAGAGATGCTGTCGATACCTCAATAAAGTTGCGTGCTGGAGACCTCATCATTTATCCCTCACGAACTCATAAAAACACACCTGCAAAAACTGTGAGGATATTCACGGAGACCCGGGCCCGGCGGCCCACCGTAAGAAGTTGGTTGTAGCTTTTGGGACGGCTCCCATGCCCGTCTAGTGACCTGTCTGCCGATGTGAAGGTCGGTGCTCAAAAGTCTGGTGACGTCACGTGAGCTGAGCTCGCCAGTTTGTTGTGACGCCATGGCTGCACGGTCTGAGGGGGTGTCAGACGGCGATGAACAATGCCGCGGCTGCAGGATGCACTGTCTGCAGTGATGCGGATCAGTGTCCACGCCATTTATACCGACAATGGCCGTTTGTTTTACAGGGACCTGGGCCATAATCTCATCAGGAGCATCCCATCCGATACTTTCGCCAAGCTTGCCAGCCTCCGAGAAATGTAAGTTGGATAATAGTTTCGGTGAATTTCGAACTTCATGTAATACGTTTGCCTGCTTTGTAGACAAACGCATCACATTTCTTTAACAAGCATCGACATTGGTACACAAACGATGCATTGTTGCGATCATAATTCTTATCTTACCGTTGTGATTTATTTGACCATTGATGCATGCGTGTGTCTCAATTTTAATTACTTAGGTACTAGGTTTTTAACCTGATTACCGATGTCCACAGTAACCTGGAACATAATCAGCTTCGATGTGTCAGCGCCGACGCCACAAGCTCCAGCGGACAACTGGAAATACTGTGAGTACCCAGTTTGACGTATCTTTACTGACGACCTTTTAACCATTCAAAGCACTAACCTCCAGCCTTGACAGTTGCTGTTTCAGTGCATTGATTTTGTGTTAAATTGATTTACAGTGGGTGTTTTTATCCTGCTAGATGAGGGAAGCTGTCATCTTGGAAGCAATTATGTTTATTTATTGCTTATGCCGCTTAATTGTTTTGACGTCATGCAGAGTGGAGCGAAATACATCTTATTTAATGTCACTTAGTATTTTTACGTGTCGTACTTTGTTATAAGCCACACTGTGTGGTGTGGTGATATTAGCTTTGTAAAGCCGTTTTGGGCTTGAAATGCTGCAAAAATGCAGTCATGAGAAATTCAGTGGCATCTATTTGTGGCTTTGTAAGTCGGTCAAGGTATGTATCGTACAGCTGCCAATGATCGGACAGAAGATATTAAATGGCTATCTACTTATTTGCTATGTTGATGTCTGCAGAGTCTGCTATTTATTTATGTGCACCAAATATGTTCACTTTCACAACACTAAGTGCTTTAGTTCTTTTACTGGCTGAAATCGCGTTTTATAACCTCTAAAGACATGTGTCACACCCTCTTCTTTCGTCATCTGACCTGATGTAATCCGTTTTAACCCATTCTGGCCTAATCACGTATGAGCTTTAGAGATGACCTTACTTGAACCTAAACCCACTCACCTGAGCCTAAACCCACCCACCTCCCCCTCCTCCTGCAGACGTCTGGGCGGTAACCGTGTGCAGCACCCCTAACCTGACCTGACCTGAGCCTAAACCCACTCACCTCCCCCTCCCGCCTCTCCCGACAGACGTCTGGGCGGTAACCGTCTGCAGCACCTTTCCGCCCGGCTGCTGCACCACAGTCCCCGGCTGAGGGTGGTCACACTGGAGGGCAACCCTCTGGTGTGCGACTGCCACCTCAGCTGGCTCGTCCGGCTGGCCAGGGGAGGCCTGCTGGACTCGGGAGCCGTCTGCCACGCGCCCTACCAGCTGGTGGGGAGGGGTCTGAGATCACTGGCCGCCGAACAACTGAAATGTGACGGTAAGGGAAGTTCTTTCGGTTTATCATGTCCGGGACATTGCCTATACCTCATCGCGCTGCTATTTTGAAAGTGCTAGAAATAGCGAGATAGATATAAAACTTTATCGGAATTCACTGGGATTGTATTGCGTATGCAAGTCCAAATATTTCGGCCAATATATTGGCCGAAATATTTGGACTTGCATACGCAATACAATCCCAGTGAATTCCGATAAAGTTTTATATCTACAAACATAAACCTGGGAAAAATATGACTCTAAAACAGCACATAGCGAGATAGTCGTATTCTTTCTGCTGTAAATTTATGCAATTAGTTGATAGACATTCATGATTTTTATCGAACGTCTTTCACGCTCATCTCGGTCTTTTATTAACTGTATAAGACACTCAAGCTGGTTGGCATATCTGCCCTGGATTGGTTTTTGTAGCCATTTCCTCACGATTTGTCCCGCCCTGCTACTTACCCTGACTCTCGCTGATCTGTCCGTCTTGTTCCAGCCGACTCCCGGCCACCGGACAGCCAGTGTGCGCCCGAGAGCCTCTGCCCGGAGGAGTGTGTCTGCTCCCAGGGCTCTGTCGACTGCCGAGACCGCGGGCTGGAGGTCATCCCCAAACACATCCCCCTGGACACCATCGAACTGTGAGTGGATTACATATCAACGAACGGTATACTGGACAGGGATGGGGATGGAGTACTAAACTTTGCGCGATGGCGATGTTCTAATACGTGTGTTCAGATATGACCTGACTCTGAGGTATGTCTCTGACTTAAATGTTTGATTATGCTAGTGGGTTTAACGTTTGCCAATCGAGACTTCCAAAATAAAGACATTCGTATAAACATATATAACACCGTTTTGGGTGACTTACGTAACGGTATGAAATCATCTTAATCAGCTCTAAGAGCCACGCTCCGTACGGGGCACCGGATGCTGTGGCAAGCTGGAGCGTATGATTTGTGGTTCGTGCAACCAAGTTTTCATAGGTCAAGTGGCTGAAACATGCACACATACATCACGTCAGAGAATTAATACGGCCAGTATATCTCACGTGTCTGCTTCAGTTGAACCCTGTTGGTCTTTCGCTGCGGCGAACTGCTCTCAGAGGGCTGCACACGAAAACGGTCTGAAGGTTATTTATTACTCTGGTGGGGTAAACGGATAGCTGACTCCTCATCCCACGCTAGTGATAATTTATGTCCGCTTTATAAGTTTTAATCTTTCGAAAGAATGCCACTGGGATAGTCACAAAGCGTTTGTGTGTAATAATCAAGCCTTTTATATTGTTCTGGGGGCACATAAACAAAATTCCAGCCCTTGTCCCCACTCCCCACCCTTTTTGGAAGGGTGTACCGCAGAAAGTGAATGGCCCTATTTACATAAGGACCTTTAAGTGGGGCGGTGTGGGCGTGTGCTTGGCTATTTCATTACCTATCGGCCTCTCTGCGGTGTTTGGTGTGCTCGCTTTTGTCCGCCCTTCCACAAGTCAATGGCGACAGGCGGGGCGGGGACGGGCGGCAGACATTTACAGCCCGGCACCGATGTCTGGACATTCTCTGTGAGCGTGTGTGCCGCCCAGTCGGACATAAACCCGGCCGATCTCTCACACAGACGGGCCCGTAAAACGCCGGCCGCCGGCCTGGAATCGGCGGCTGTGGTGAACGGTGTGGGGCCGCCATCCAAAGGGTGCATTAGTGTGGTGGTAGGGGATGGCTGCGGTGGGGTTTTATTCAGACTACCGGTATTGCTCTTACTTACGCGGGCTGGTATAAGAACCAATATCTGTTTGTGATTGTATCACCTTCTCAAAGTGCTTGATTTGATCTCTCTTGATGCCATTTTTCTTCGTTGCTCAACTTTTCCAATGTGTTGTTAGAAGGTCGGTACGACAAGCTGTTGTTTCTTGCGTTTAACTTTGTATTATCAGTTTATCGAATGCATCAGGTAATCACTCACAAAAAAGTCAGCAACCTTCACCGATGTCACGTCACATCACCTCACACATTACTCACCGTCTCACCTGTCGTCACGCGTGACTCCCTCACACCGGTCGGGATCTGACATTGTCTCTGCTTTCAGCCGCCTGGAACAGAACAAGATCAGCGAGATCCCTGCGCGGGCCTTCAGCGCCTACAGACGCATCAAACGAATGTAAGCAGCACGCACTGCGTCCGCCCGCTCGCGGCGCCCGCCCGCTCGCCCACTCTTTCTAAACCTCCGACCCATCGTCGTCGTCCCGTCGCGCCGCCCGCAACTCCCCCGCGAGGAACCGAGACGGCCCGAGTGTCCGCCTCTCTGCCCGGACAGGGTAGTGCCCCGCCTCTCCGCCGCCCCACCCGTCGATAGCATCGTGCCGTTTTGCAGCGGCTGGGATTACAACAGCGTGACACGCGCCCGTGACCGTATCGGGCCATCTGCCCACCTGAGCTCACACCAGCGCCTGGCTCGTTGGTCATTCAGTCGGTCGGAGTGAGGGTCCGGCCGACTGGGACCGTTTAGAGACCGTCCGCGATAGCCGCGTGAGGAGCCAGAGTGGTGGTATTGTGGTGCGAGGTCAGCTGTTTCAAATGCTGGCTTCCCCGCCCTCCCACCTGTCGGACGTTATGTGGCCTTTTATGCGTGGTCACATTAATTCTTTATACGGGAGGGAAGTGCACTGAAATGGAGGTTTAAATATGGTGATGAAATTGACCAATAACATGGCAGTGAGATGTATTTTTATACAACAAAATAATGCCGAAAATATAGAACGAGCTTTCGTCTTACGACATCATCGGGTTCTGGTCTAGCCGAGGCAATCACATTTGAAAAATTGAAACGGAACCAAATATTCACACGTGCACATTGGCCCAGATGGCTTTTGGAGGTCATGGAGGTCGAAATGGAGGTTTGACTGTATGTTGGCAAGAATTCACCGAAGGCTTCAAGCGGATGTCAGTTTAACAGTCGGAACTCCCGAAAGATTTATATGCTGGTGGTTAGATCGTCCGCCCCACGATATCTCAGAACGCCTGGTAATAAGGCCATTCTGTCTTCCGAGCGCCTGTCAGGTATACTGTGCCGCCGCGCAGAGAGCGCCTGTAATTATACTGCGCCGCTGTGCAGGGAGCGCCTGTATGGCTATACTGTACCGTCGTACAGGGAGCACCTGTGGCTATACTGTGCCGCCATACAGGGAGCGCCTCTCAGCTATACTGTGCCGCCGGGCAGGGAGCGCCTGTCAGGTATACTGCGCCGCCGCGCCGGGCAGGAAATGCCTGCAGTTATACTGTGCCGCCATACAGGGATCGCCTGTCAGGTATACTGCGCCGCCGGGCAGGGATCACCTGTAGTTAGACTGTGCCCGGTGCGTGCCGTGCCGCCGGGCAGGGAACGCCTGTCAGGTATACTGTGCCGCCGGGCACGGAGCGCCTGTAAGGTATACTGTGCCGCCGGGCAGGGATCGCCTGTCAGTTATACTGTGCCGCCATACTGGGAGCGCCTGTAGTCATACTGTGCCGCCGGGCAGGGATCGCCTACAGTTATACTGTGCCGCCATACAGGGAGCGCCTGTCAGGTATACTGTGCCGCCAGACATGGAGCGCCTGTCAGTTATACTGTACCGCCGGCCGCCCGGGACCCCACGCAGCGCGCGGCTGAAAGTGTCCCAGTGCCGTCCCGCTGTGTCGTGTAGCATGGAGGCGGCTGTAGGCCACGTGTGTCGCGTCGTGCATGTTCCTGTCGCTTGCCGGAGATACATAGCCGCTCTGGCGCTCTTGAATTCAGCCGCACTGCGGCTCCGGAATTGTAAATGTCTCCTAGGTTACGAAAACCGGCTGATCATTCGATTTCGCTTCTTGCAGAGATCTGAGCCACAATCAAATCTCCAAGATCGCGTCGGATGCCTTCGAAGATCTAACGGAACTCAACTCTCTGTAAGTTTGGGCTGAATGGAAATCCAACTCCCCAAAAGTCAGGTGACCAGACAATGATGTAACCCATTAACCGCCCCCACCTGACCCAAGTCACGAGTCGCTTTGTGTGAGTAAGCGAGCATCTGACATTCCCTTGGCCTCGTGACTAACCCTCTGACGTGTCCGGCGTCTCAAACTCGAAGGGCGTCGGCTCTGCCCTCACATGACACTCATCTCACCCATACAAGACGTAATCCCCAGTAGCTCAACCCCAAACCGGTCACCGGAACACCTCTCTTGGGACCCGTTCGGTAGCCTTCCGATCAATCCAGCTTCCCAAACGTGCTCGTTGTATGGCCACCGGGAGGACATCGGTCAGTGAGAGCTGGTGCAGCCAACACTGACCTCTTTTGACCCGTTCAAACAGCCCCGGGGCGTGTTCGGGAGACAGGTGAAGTGCTGGGTGGAGGGAGCCGTTCTGTCGTGCTTGGACGGCGCCAAAGGACGTAGCAGTGTGTGGGGTGAATACTGAATGCGTTGACTCAGTTTGGTGGGTATGCCAGACCAGATAGAGTGCGTGGCTATTTGGAGCGTCTTTTGGTTTGTGGGAGCTTACCTTGTACAGCGCGATTCGCTTCTTTCGTGTTTCTTTTTATCATTAATAAATGAATTTGAAATTAACAACCGACAATAATTCGGAGGATCGAAACAGTTCCATTGATAGCATCGGCATCGAACTAACCCGCTGTAACCTCCAGTAAGTGTTTCAGGAATCAGAAGCGTTTATTAGTTTGTTTCATTTTCTGTAATTATCGTTCAATCTAAACTTTTGAGATTGAAATCAAATCAATTTCAATATTTATTATTGGCCACGTCTGAAATGTGTTCAGTCTGCCATGGAAAACTTATCGCATCAGCAAAGGCGTCGGCTATTCTCCGCGGAAGAATTTTCTTGTCCTAGATGACATACTGCCGCAAATGCCATTTATCAACTTTTTTGCTAGTTATAGTATCAAATGGGGCGTGCAAGACATATTTGATGAAATTATGCTCGCTATTATTTAAGAAAATTGCCAATTTATTGTCTTTCGTTACGCGATTTGCCATAATAGCCCAAATCCGAGTAAATCTTTGTGCAGTACGGGATGAAGTTATTTCGTTTTTGTCTATGGCTTGTATGTAGTTGCAGCGTTGGTCCAACTTACATATCTTTCAAATACGTGCCTCATTTGCCACATATATCAACCGTAGAAAGAATCTTCCCACCGATTCGCCCAAGACATACAACCCACATGAAACCCTATTGGCTCGTATGTACCCTCCTTCCGCACGAATCGAACCGCATAAAATACGACGCTTCATTATGCCAATCCTGATGGTATCATACCCGAACATGGCCTGGCGCTGGCTGGCCCCGGCCACTAACGTACGATCGGATGGCCGAGCAGGATAACTTACGTGCTGCCTCATGTGGAGCCTGGAATAACGACCCCGCCAGCATTACCTCAAGCGGGTTATGTATGATATAAGCCCAGTCCAGCGGAAGTCTGGCACTAACTCAAGCTCATGCAGTTCAATCATCTTTCCAATTGATGGTATCGCGCTGAAGCTGCGCGAATGGTGACGCGCCCTCACGAGTACTGGTGCAGTGAGGCTCATCACTTTGTGTTTGTCTGCCACAGAGTCATCTACGGGAACCGGCTCAGTATGCTGCCTTCTGGCCTCTTCCACGGACTGGTTTCTCTTCAACTGCTGTAAGTACTGTGAGACGCAGAAATAGGAAAAGAATAGTCTTTGAGTTGGGGCTTTTAAGGAATATTGTCATCTGAGTTTTTGCAAGAACAGTCTTCTTGACGGGGTTTGTATTATTAAGTTTACAGAGCTGGGCTCCGTGAGATCATTTAGAGATACTGCGTTGTAACCGAGTCGCTCTCGTCACCTGTCATAATTCTCCTCCCCAGAGTTTATGTGTTCTGTTATATGTCCAGCCATGATCTGATCATCTCGCCCGCCCCGCCCCCGCCATCACGTCGTCACCGGGGCGCCCCCGCCCCGTCATCCGCCCGTCCACCGCCCGGTCATCCGCCCGTCCACCGCCCGGTCATCCGCCCGTCCGCCCCCGCCCCGGCCATCCGCCCGTCCGCCGCTGCGGCGCGGTGACCTGTCTCCTTTAGCGGCCCGCCTTTACGATCGGCCGTCCCTACCGCGTTTTATGATCCGGTCCCTGAGTAATTTAAATACCTGCTCCCGTGCCGCGGTGTGGAGGCATACTAATTAGATAATTGTCCCACCCAGTGCGCTGGTAATAGCCAATTTGGTCGGCGCGACCTACAGGCAGCGGTTCTCACAGCGCTCACTGCAGCGGGGAGGGGGGAGGCCGGAGAGAGAGGTCAGAGTGCATGCTCTGACGCGGTTGCGGCATGTGCGAGGCGAGGAGCCACTCTGTCTAGCCTGTGTAGAAAGTAGCGGCCGCTGTCCGTATATCTGCGTTGTTTTCCACACCTGTAACAGGCGATTTTCCGAGCTCATGCCGAGGCAGTGTCGGCCGCAGGCGACGGCCCACCGCCAAATAACTCAAGATCATGCCGGTGATAAGGTCGCTGAGGCGAGAAATTAAATTACGGCGCCTTGCCAGTCGCCGGGGGCGCCTGTTTTTGGAGGATGCCGCCGATAGGCTGGGACGCCGTCAGAGGTCACGGGGTCACCAGATGACGTATGGTCGTGGTGATGGTGGCCGTGCGGCGGCGGACCACTGAACCATGAGATGGGTTGTCATCGAGCGGGGCAAACTCGGGCGAATGTTCCGCGGCGGTTCCGGGAGCGACGGTGGGGAGACTCGGGCCCGGAGAGGGGGAGCTGGTGTAAATTTGTCCCGACGACCGGCCCCGGGACGTGTTTCATGAACCGTGGAGGTGCCGTGTCGGGCGAGACGACTGATAGTGTTGGCAGCGCCCGGCCGGGCCGCTAAACTCACGGGTAGAAAGCATAGTGTTTTTACCTTATTTTAGCAGCGCATTCGACATTCACGGATCCGATCATGCTGAATATGCAGGAAGCACAACTGCTAAACTGCATGTGTTATTGGCTTTTCCCAGGCTGCTGAACGCAAACAAGATATCCTGCATTCAGAAGGACGCATTCCGAGACCTGAATAGCCTGACGCTTCTGTGAGTATCGTGAATGACCGAGTGTATTTCTAATTAGTCTGTATGTGATGGTCACGCTATTTCGTTCTGCTCATTGGTTCGTAATAATGAGAGGTTTTATGAGCATGGTAATTAAAATCAGCTCAACTTCTTATCTACCTATTGAGATCTTGGCCGTCCCACGATCATTAGCATTACAATGTGATTTTATGAGCCGGCTAACGCTTTGAAGCCTGGATACCGATCAAGGAAATTTATGGTCTATTTTTGATGGAACCAGCATGCATATTCGCACTTTGGAATAACTCTTGTCAAACGTGCTAAGGAGTTATAACGTGATAGCTAAATTTCCTCTAGCAAATCGTCCCATCTTCTCATTCAATGACGGAAAGGTTAACGCGTACCCGATATCATGTTTTCCAGGTCTCTGTTCGACAACAACATCCAGTCACTTTCAAATGGAACATTCGGGCCGCTGGAAAACGTACAAACGCTGTAAGTTACTCTTATCAATTCCATGCATTAACCCGCGCCCCAGTGGCGGTCTCAGCCAACTTCGCCCTAGTGGGGGGGGGGGGGCATATGTTACCACCCACCTCTAACTCAAAAACTAAGAGGGCTAGAAAGACGCGGTAAAAAGCAATCGATAGCTCTCAATGCGTACGTTTGAAAGTATTCCGGTCATTTTTCATCTTAGAGCAATATTGGGGTCACTGGAGGTCATCAAAGGTCAAAATTTGCCAAATGTCATTATATTTTTCCGAAAACATGCATTTATCTCAGGAACTATGATAGCTAGAAAAACGAAATAAAAAGCAATCGGTAGCTCTTGAACTTTTCTTTCGATAAGACCATCATCAAAATTGACCTCAGGTCAACGGTTTAGCCTCCAGAGGGCAAAAACTCCAAAAATAGCTGTTTTTACGAAAAGTGTTTTTCGACAATAACTTTTGACTAAAAAACGCCACGACATTTCTATTGCCAGAATCGTGTTCCTCTCGCCGAGACGCATCGAATGAACTACAATTTGACCTTGCAAGGTCAACTTGAAAATTTGACCTCAGGTTAAGGTCATGACCTGACCGAAAAAGGTCATGTTGCATATCAGTCGATGCGTCTCGGCAAGGCAAACACAATGAGACCATCCCCAGCGTTCTATCTCTTTCCAATCGAGAGTTATTGGCAAAAATCTGTTTGTAGCCTCAAATGACCTCGGATGACCTTTCTAGAGGCTATCAGCAAAAACGACACCTTGGTCGTCACGGGTGGTCCAAATCATTGTGATTCTGAAATATTTGGACTGTTCCTATGCGTACACACGGATCTAGAGGCATTTTCATTTTTCTCCATTGACTTATAATGGTAAGGTCACGCCACTGACCTGACCTTAGGTCACGGATATAAAAAACCCGAGATATACAAATTGTAGGCGTCCATAACATCATGCAATTTACCAAGTTTAAAACCTTTCTGACAAACACTGCAGGCTGGACATGATTGCAAACTTTTTTAGGCTTGGTCAGTTAACTTGACCTGGTGACCTGACCTGACATGACCTGGGGTCAAAAATTTCACACATTGTCCAAAATTGATGTGCAAAAAGCTACCCCAAGCGGCGCGGCGCTACGCGCCGCGGTTTTTATTCACACGCGAAAAACGCGACAGGGTGGTAACATATGCCCCCCCCCCCCCACTGGGGCGAAGGCTAAAGAAGTGTTTTGTGATAATTGTTTCCATGTAGATATCTGTGATGGTACCAGGTACACTTTCCTTCGTTGTCACCTAACAGAGATGGACACTGCATGGCATCAATGTCTAATACCTGACCGGCCGCTGTAACCTTCCGCCTATATCTCAACAAAAGCCATTAGCAACCATCGTCAGCAGCTTGTTGGATAGAAGCGAACATGAGCTCTAGTGTTTGTTCTGTGTAAACTAATGATCCTTCGGCTTGGCACATAGCGTATTTAAAGAGCTCACTCTGTCTTGTAGACTGACTCAGCATGACTGAGGGAGCACAACTCAATTACCCCACGGCTCTGGCATGATAAATGTTTCAATCAGTCGGCTAACCCTTTCTGTTTGTCTCCCCGCACACTGTGACGTCATCACATGTAGGCATGACGTCATAGGCCTCAGTACAAACGACCTCGTACTAACGTTTATGATAGTGTCGTCCCCAGCCACCTCTTGAGCGCATCATTAATCATTACTGCCTCACCTCTCTAATGCTGATGCTTTGAATACACAGTACACACCCAGCTATACACATGCCAGCTATCCAGACTCGCTACCGGTTTATCTAAGCCACACCTTCGCATCAATTACGGAATCTACCGCCATCACCGGAGCCGAACACGCGATTAAGTCAGCACTTTGTCAGTATCGCGGCGTTCCCCCAGCTCTCCGGTCTGTCCCATGAGACCGGTGTCGTGTCAATGTCCGTCTCAGCCTGGCTCCGACCCGTGTTAGGGCGCGTCACGGTGAATATACACGTTACGGGGAGCCTGTCTGTGTCTGGGGGTGTCTAAACAGCAGCACGGCGACAGGGTAGCTGTCGATACCGTCGTCTGGTGAAATCATGACACTGCTACCGTGTGTGTGTCGGCTGGGCTGTGGGTCATTATATCTGTTTGTTTGTCGATCTAATTGTAGGTAGGTGTCCAGAAGTCGTTTATCTTCGTCGACTAACGGTGACCTGTCATGGCACGTGTTGCAAGGTCATGTTGTCGCAATCTTAGCTGAGAATCTTTGCAAGCTGTTTCCTCCTTTAGCTAACGCTGTGGTGATGCCTTTTGGTTCCCCACCTTGCTATGCAGGTCATGTGCTTGGGCTTCTTATCTAAGCTTACACATCTTAGTGTGGTGTCTTATTGTTTCATATTTTGTCCGACTTTTCCGCATTTTGCCAGTGTTTTTTTATGTATAGAAATACTGTTTTATAGTCGCCATCCTTACTCGATAATCTCCTGTCTTCTGTCATGCTACCTTTTGATTTATCGCTTGTCTAGCTATTGTGTAGTTTTGTCTCTTGTCCGCGTCCTCAACACACCCTGTCTATCTCCTGACGCCGTCTCTCTCTCCCCGGCCAGCCACCTGGGTCGGAACCCGTTCGTATGCGACTGTGAGCTGCAGTGGCTGGCGGAATACCTGGAGAGGCGACCCATCGAGACCAGCGGCGCGCGGTGTCAGGAGCCGGCCTCCCTCCACCGGCGCAAGCTCTCCGCGCTGCGGCAGGTGCAGCGACAACTCAGATGTGAGTACAGCTACACAGCTCAATCATGTATTGGGTGTATTAGCATAACATTATTAACTAGGTGCAGCGCCAGCTCATATGTGAGTAAGTATGCTGCTCCGCAATCCAATGGGGGAATCAACTGACAACAGTCATGAATGACTGAATGGTTGGGTCAAGTGGATAGATCGACGTTGTAAAAAAAAGAATTAACCGCAGACTCATGCATACAATGCAGCGAATCTTATTGTGATTTGGGAGTCAGATGCGAATTTGCCGAGGGTAATGACCACAAGTTTTTGTTGATATCTTATTTTTGAATGTTGTTTTCCTACATGTAGCCGGTGCATTATTGTGATGCTAAACTGATCACTCAATAAATTACTCTCACTGACTAAAAATATAAAGGAATGCTGAGTATAGTTAGATTTCCTTATGAACAAGAGCTCCAACGGCCTTTGCCCAATCAGTAGTGAAATGCAACGTCCTGATTTCCCGAAGCTCCGTTCCGCATCGGTGTTTCATTCACATGCCGGCACGATTTCTGGTTTCGGCGGCAATAAGCTGATGACATTTCACAGAACGAGGCTACTCGATACCAGCACATAAAAGGAATCGACTCGCCGCCTTCTCTTGACGGAAGTGTGGTTTGAATGATTTAATGCACTCTCTGTATATGTATTATAATGTATGGATCAGTTATGGTATTGGACCGCACGAACTGCCCTTGTAATGAATGGCTGTCGGTACGAACCAAGCACAAATGTCACATCGGCTGTTACACGGTGTCAGTCATTTAAGAAGTGCTCATGAATCTGTTCGACATTCGTCGACATTGCAGTATGCATTGATTGGTAAATAATGCAGCGAGGCCGTGCATTTGTGCGACCTTAAATATGGAAGTGACGTGCCAGCTTTGCCGGATATCATGGACGTAACTATGCAGTATTGCGCGATATCTTTGAATGGTACCGAAGAAAACGCAATGGTTGTAAAGTTCGACATCTGTTTTGGTCATGCTATTTAAAGTCATATAGTTCATCGTTCTGAAGCTTTCTAATCAAGAGATATAAGCATTAACGGACTGACAAAACAATTACATTATACCTCCCTCATTTTCCAATAATTTACCGTAGATGTTCATTTAGCTCAGCGGGGCAGATAAGTGTCGGGTGTTAAAGTTTTGGGATTATTCGCCGTAAAAGCTTCATCCGGTTTTCAAAGACACAAGACACGACAGCCTGTCATGCATGCACCAGGGCACTCTAAATGTGAATATCAGGAGACATTGATTTTGGCATCATGCTCATGTAGTCTGTCTGGCTTTATTCGAGCTCCGGTGGTCATATGGTTGTTGCGTCATTTGCTCGAGACCGTTGAAACAACAAACGAAATGAATCATCACGCCAGTTGTTCGTACTCAGGAGTGTGATTGCTTTCGGAGAAAGGTATTGTGCAATCATGTAAGTTTGTTGTGATGTGGCGTTTCAACACTAGTATCAATGATGGTGAAATGGCGAACGGTTTGCTTTGTTTCCTACGATACTTCGAAGTGAGAAATGACGCACGTAACGAACACGCAATATTTGCTAAAGTATCTCCCTTCCAGTGTGTGAGGGCTTCTTTCTTTGGTCTCTATCACCCACGCTTCCACATAAGAATACCTATAGCTAAGTGCGTTCCGAAGTGAATTGAAAACGTCACGGGCGGACGCGTCTGTTTTCCAGTTCGTTGGCCGTGGTCGTCAATTTTCAATCTGTTGACAAATGGTTTTGTTAATTTACCCATCACTCTGCGTCCTGTCGGGCAAAAACACCCGCTCGATGGCTGTTTCATGTCGGCCTGATTAATGCCAGCGCTCTTGTTCCCTCTCTAACATACCGGCGACATTAATAATTTACTGCGTAACCCGCCACCTAGCCAGTTAATTGTAACGGGTGTGTTGACGGTACCCGACTGCTCTCTGGTTTATCGTTCGGTGATTGATGGGCTGAGACAGCGGTGTGACGTTTTCTGATTTGTATCAGACTGCCCCGCACCGTTCGTCGTCCGAGTGTCGATAAAGTTGACACACTTGACCGATAAAGTGACAAAACATTTCTAACATAAAATACAACAGCTGTCCGGCCCGTGCGGTAGGCGTCTTAATGTGGCCTTTGAAGTCAAGCATTCGCGATTCAACGCTGAAAATGAATCTGTTGAGTGTTCTCGTGTTTAAATGGTCATTTACTTATTAACTGGAGGGAAAAACTTGTTAAGCACTCCGAAGAAAATGAAATATTAACATAGCATAAAATAGCTTGATATTTTCTCTTCCGATTACGTTCTAGCTGCGTTTGTAGTTTCATGTTTGTAGGGTTTCAGTCCCATTTAATTTTCATTTTCGGGCCTGTGTTACCAACTTCACATTGCACTTGGCAAACCTTAGAGATGAAAGCCGCTTAGGCGAATTTCTCGCATGACCGACTTTCCTGAAATGCAATCATAGCGAATGACATCAATTCGAATAATCATCGAGAAAGACCTCCATTCATAAGATCAAGTCCGACAGAGCACGTGAATAACTGCCTGCTATTAGGCGACACAACAGTCTCGATCTATTCTCAGAATGGCTCTGTCAGTGATCAACGGATCGGCATCGCTGCAACTTTTCGTTCAGACGCTCAGAGGTAGGCGAATCATCAACAGAAGTCGCTATTTTCAGCGGGATCGGATGGTTTAAAAGCTAGCGGCGGAAGGCACTCAGCACAAACAACAAGCCAGCCCAAGTATGCGGCATGGCTCATCCATAACTCAGCCATTAATTTTTGCTGTGATAAGACAGTCATCGCTGTAACTTACAGACATTCATTTACTCGTATACTGAAAATGACAATTTGCATATCTCTTCAATGTTGTGAATCGTGATGTTGGAAGACAGTCAAGCCGCCCACCTCCCTCACCAGCTTTGTTCCCTCCCCTTTCCTCTTACTCCCACCTCCCCCACATCCGCCGTTTCTGCCCTTTTCTGTAGGTACCCTATGTTACACCCCGCCGTCCGGACCCCCAGCGACCGACCCGACTCCCCCATGCCGCGTGCTGGCCCGGCGCGACCCACAAAAACTCCGCCCCGCTGCTTTGTTCGCGCCGCGGGACGTCTTTCAGGAGGGGCGCGTTTACCGAATTTTCAAATAAGCGGCCGGCTCGGCGGGTTCTGGCGACAAACGAGCGAGAAGGCGCGCTGGCGCGTGAGCAGCCCCATTATGACTTTGTTTGCGAGACGCGTGCGGAGGGATTTCGGCGGCGACAGCGGGGGACCGGGCCGGCTCGCAGCTGCTGCTGCCGCCGTCCGCTGACCCGCTGTGTTCCGCTGACCCGCCGTGCTCCGCTGACCCGCTGTGTTCCGCTGTATTTCGCCGTCAGCTGACCCGCTGACTCGATGTTCAGTTCCCGTCGCCATATCCGCTCTATCTGTTGATTCCCTGCTTCTGTGATCTATCACGCTGCTTCGCTGCTCTTTGAATACGTTTGGTTGTGCCCTGTGCACTGTGCAGCATAGCAGCTCAGTGTCTTGATTTGCTCCCTATCCTTCTGTCTGCCGCCACAGTCATCGGACGTGCAACATTTCCCTTGCCAGCTTTGTCTGCGTACGAGTACCTACGCATTATGTGTGTACTGTATATGCTTTGTACGCAGTACGCACGCAGGTGTGTCGCCTGTCCGGTAACACCCCTCTCGCGGCGCTACACGACCCACCGCGTGACCTTCACGTGGGCTGCGTTCTGGCCAGTCACCATGTCAATATCCTGCGGAAGGCTTCTTCACGGAGAGCGTAAACAAGTTTTTTGCCTGGCATCGACTGGCCGCTGGCGTCGGGGGGCATTTAGTCGACACGACACGCTATAGAGCGTCTCACACAACGGCTCTGGATGGAAAGGAGGAAGGACTCTCGCGTCCCGAAAGTTGTGGCACGGTTACACCGCGGACTGCGGAGGCTGTCACACTTCAGCCTCAGACGCCTGGTTTTGGGTAGAAACAGTTGCTGAAGTCGCCTACAAGCAATGCTGACCGATGTATCTGCACCCAGAACGCTTGGCTGAGCGTGGCTATGCGTGGTAAAAAGTTCTGAGTGGTGCTGGCGAGAAGCGATACCTATCTGAGTTTGAGAGGGGCAGCCGAGTGGCTCTGGGGTTAGCGTGACACAGGCGGGACTTTCACCGATACCAGCGGCACACGTGAATGGAATACTGGTGGCACGGGTCGTCCGATACAGAAGCGCCGGGCTATTGTTATTGGATTTGTATATCCAAAATACATATTGGATTTGAAAACTTCGTCGCTATCTAAATAGATCGTGTGATCGTTCAATCACGTATTTGTTTTTGATATAATGGATCGCTTTATCGTAGATCACCCATTGTGCTCTGTGACGGATGTATGTATAAGGTCGCGCTAGCCATTTCGTCACATATCGTATTGGATATTTATCACAGACATCCCATAACTAACGTTGACAAAATAAAGGCATCACTAATGTTTTACACTTTAAATCATTATCGGGATGTTAAAAGTCGTGCATACTGCATATGTCCTAATATAAGTTTATCAGGTCAGTCAATTTCTCTGGATTTCGCAACACATAAGCTCAATTCAACTTTCTAAGAAACCTCGTTGCGGGAAAGCAGAAAGTCTGTTCAAAACTCTGGCTCTCCACATATTACCTTTCGTTTGACCTCTCAATCAAAGCCTGCATCTGACTTCTCAAGTTCTGAATAGGCACACGATATCCGGAAGGGAATGTCTCGAAACGTCTAGTGCATCCATCGCAGCATTCATATCCGCCATAAATGCGCAATGTGATGTTTGGATCCTGAAACTCCCCATTTCCAGACCCATCATCGAAGTCGTCTTGCTTCGGTAGCTGTTTCACTGTCATAAGACATATCTCAACGTCCAGTGAATGCCCGCGGCTATGACCGGAATCCCTGCCGTACAGACCTTGGCACGTCCACTGAACATTTCGTCTTTAATCCCGCCAGTAACTGGGTGGCCAGGCCATCTCCGCTGGATACCAAACGACACCGTGCAGTGATTTAGACGCCCCTTTAATGTCGACCGCCTGAAAGCCTCACGTAATGTCCCGCTCACAAGGTATTGTGCGTGCCGCGTCCAAGATCAGAGTGTGAGTTGTGAAGCTGCGCCTGCGTGGGCGCGGTTTGTTCGGCACCTTTGTAGCTGCTACGTTCTTTCATAAAACGTGACTTATGGCACGTAATAACGGGCTCAGCACGTCATAATGCTGCGGTTAATGCGAAATTCTGATAATGCGGCGTGCTCATGAGCAAGCTGAAACGCTGAGCGATGAAATCATGGTATACAACTTATGAACAAGCTCAGTTTCGTCCCTTGATACGGACCGTGCTTGAAAGGAACAAGCGTAAGTTCTAACCTCTACATATGTAGGTAAACCAGTAAAACGCCTTTTGGGCGACCAACGGAGCGAGCGAGAGGATGGGCCTTGCACGTGCGAAATTGCGAGGGGGTACCTCCAACTAACTTGTGCACTGCACCCTACTAATCGGTCTTTAGCGATGTGCCAAATTTCAGCGCAATCGGCCTAGCCGTTCTCGAGATCTGGAAGCGGCACACTGCACGTGCGCACGTGCAAGCGGGGTCCAAACTGACTTTTACACGGCACCCTACTAACTGGTCCCCAACCGTGTACCAAATTTGAGCGCAATCGGCCCAGCCGTTCTCGAGATCTGGGAGCGCCCCCTGCACGTGCGCACGTGCTGGTGCACCCCAACCTTAACACATGCAGATAAATTATCTGATGGAGACCTAACTGTGTACCGAGTTTCAATTCAATCGGCCCAACCGTTGTGCCGTTATTGAGGTTGCAATTTTGGGGGTTCTTAAAAAATGTCCAACTTTACCACGCGCCACGTGCGGTGTTTGGCAAGAACGCATGGTGGCTATCACACCACAGAACTTTTACGTCCAAGTGACATTCAGTAAAGAAGACCGCTTGTCAATCGGATGTCCCGTTCCTAAGATATTAGCTTTTGAAGAGCGTCCCCACGGCCGGCCGGCCGGCCGGCCGCTCATACTCAGGATTTTCCCTTAATTCAGTATGAGACTCCGCTCGCTTCGCTCGCTCCGTAATCAGACTTACTAAGACTCTAACCACTGTACTTGTGTGACTCAATGCTTGTCAGTCGCCTGTTGGTGACAATGTTAACCGGACTCTCACTCGATCTTGTACCCTCCTCTTGCCCCTGTTACGTCCCTGGCATTTTTTTATATCCTTTCCATGCTCTGATCCTGTCTCTGCTTCCAACTTGATCCTGACCCGCTGACGCTGAGCTTCCCCTCCCACCAACCTGACCCTGGCACTCCCCTCCCACTGACTTGCCCTGCCCTGCGGCAGGCTCGGACGGGTCGCGCTCAGAGCACTCGGACCAGTGCACAGCGGAGGACGAGTGTCCGCCGTCGTGTCGGTGCTCCGGTACCATGGTGGACTGCGGGGGACGGCGACTGAAGGCGATACCCGAGAACCTGCCGCGCGCCACCACCGAACTGTGAGTACCTACATAGGGAACCGGTGCTGATATTATCACAGGTGTTGCCTTCTGCATTTGTCCCTGCAATACCTTGTGCAATGCGTGGATTCGGTTGTGATGGATGCTGTTTGCGTACGTGAAAGAACATTGGAGAGGCTTGAATTGTAACATATGCTGTGAAATGAGCATTCAAAGCGAGCGAAGAGTCTAGGAAAAAATTTGAGCGCATCAACATCTTTGTTCGATGTAAATGGTATACCTAATCAATATTCATGATATAGATACCTACGTAGTTTGTGTAAAATGTAACCCACTTATGTCGCAGAGAAACCCTTTATGGTTCCGAGGAATGTGCGAGCACGCTGTTTTCCAATGCCTGTTACACACGCCAGCGGTTATGCCAAAAATCGTAATACCATCTCACAAACACCTTCATGCTTCGTGGTCATAAATCCCAATTAAGAGGGAAACTCCGGCGGGCGGTGTGACGCTGATTGGTAAAAACTGGCAGCTGAGGCGGCGGCGCGCGGCGCCTGCGGCCCTGTTTCTGTCCTGGGAACCTCGCGCCGGCCCGGTTAGGACCTCCATAAACCAGGCAGGGTGAGATGCAGACTCGGCTCTGACACGGAGCTCGCCTGTTTACCTTGGCGTGGCCGATGTCGAGCGAATATTTTACCGTCGTCGGGTATCTGTGAAATTATGGGAAACTGCGGTGTACATCAAACTGAGCCCCACGCCAGACCAATAAAAATTGCTGGCGTGGCCAAGACAGTGTGTTGGGATATTGTTAGTAACATTAAAGGTAGTGTGCCACCTTTGAAAGATTTCCCATTTTATTTTTCCTAGGATAAGAAGCTTCTGTTTTTACCTAATATCGCAAAAAAAATCAAAAATGGGCCTGGAATAGTGCCTTTTTCGCCTAAAAGTTTTTCGGTTTTTAGATATGTATAACAACTGTAGTGGACTCACCTGCAAACAGGCGTCGGGCAACAATCGCGAATGCGGCGCACTTGTGACAATAAGCAAAGGTCATTATAGTGTTACGACCATACGACGTACGGGAATGAGTTATCAGCTGTCTAATCGTAGACAACACAATGTCGAGCCTTAAACTGTAAGCCCGTATTGGTATTGTTTCTTTTATTTGGCTGTCGAACATTATTTATGGTTTGAAATATGATTTCATGTAAAATAATTGATATGAAAAAGCCGTTTTATAAGTTATGACCCCATTTCACCACACGCAAGTGGCAGAAATGACAATGATCAGCTGACGCATTTTTCTTGGCCGAAGTCAGAGCGCGCGGCCCGACGCACCACGCGTATTTGGAAATTCCGACCTCGACGAGCATCAGAAGCCACCTAACAGGCGTGTTCGAAACCGCAGGAGATGATGATGAACGGGTTTATCGAAACTTGATTGGATGAGCATATCGGTAATATCGATTTCAGTGTGTGCATTTATTGTTCATAGTGGTGTGAAATGTGGTTGGGGTACGACCGACAACCCGTCGGGGCGAATTTCGCACTGGGGTACTCAAAATTTGAAGAATTTAAGACGTTTCCATGAGTTTTGAAGGTATGGATAAGTTCTAAAAATCCGGTTCTCCTTATCTGGGCCATTAACTCCATACGGTCCAAGAAAGCTGGCACACTACCTTTAAGAATGGTTATTTGCCTAAGCTAGTCTTTGTCTTTTGCTCAAAGTCTCAACAAGATGAAACATTATACTTACAAGCAGTAATATAGACTTCGTCTTTATCAATTTAACCCTATTAGTGGCAGGGGGGGGTGTTTTTATCCACCCCTCAGGTTTTTCGGGAATATCTCCGAAACCGCTGAAGCTACGATGCTGAAATTTTCTGACTTTTCCTAAAACTAAATTGGGCACATTCCCTGAAAATTTCAAGTTCATAACTTTACCAGGGGCGGCTCCAGAGCACTGGGAATTGGGGGTCCTATTCGTGAAGCGAGTCATTTGGGCGAAGATCACGATGCTGCACCAGTTTTACGAACAGTGAATGAAAGGTATCATGTGATAACATATACAAAGTTATTGTGCATCCTCTTTTGACACGTTTTTGCTATAATAGGCGGATCCAGGCGTCCAAAAAGGGGGGTTATTTTTTACCTCCCAACATAGGTGCCCTGACACCGCCTATGCATGACCAATACAATTTTAGTCGTTCTCTCATAAGAAAATTGTAACATAACAAGACCATTGCCACCCTTTTTAGAAACAGTACCAACAAAAACCTTATTTACTATAGTTTTTGTATACCCCCAATCACAATGATCTGTATCCGCCTATGATTTTTGAAAATGCATATTTTTAGGATCCATGTGAATTCCTGGTTCATTCTCTATCGATCGGCAAAAGTTGCGTTAAGATTGGTTCAGAAACCTGGCCGTGATAAACAGTCTAAAATGTATCTGCAAATTGCCCGTTTTTACCCCCCTCTACCCCCCTATTGACATTTTTAATTTTATTTTTTTAGAAATGTAGATCTCGTTGAGCCAAATCGAATGCCGTTTGAATTTTGAAAATCGGCCCGTTAGATCTCGAGATATCAAGGGGGGGGGGGGTCGTAAACAGCCCCCCCTGCCACTAATATGGGGTAGCCAGGAGCCTGCCACTAATAGGGTTAAAGCTTATTACAAAAACAATTAGATAATTTTTCCTAATAATTATCTGGAAAACCAAACCGCGGAAGCCTGTCACGGAAATGTTAACGGTAGCTTGTCACGAACGAGTGACCGGCTTATCTATAAAAGCACAGGTACGATTAGTTACGGATTAGCTGGCGACTGCTGATTTCAACGTCAATTTAGATAGGTCATCGCTACCCTCAGTCCTCTGCCTTATTTGTTATAAAAAACAATGAAAATATATCGAGTTATTGCATTGAACTGCATGGTGTTTTGTCATTTTATCAATTATTTACGGAGAAAAAAGTAGACTATGCCCGCTGAACAGTGAACACATTTACGGACATCTGGTTTGACGATGGGCATTCCGGGATTCCCGCTTAGTGACTAGACTGAATAACCCCTTCCCCATCTCTCTCTCTCTCTCTCTCTCTCTCTCTCTCTCTCTCTCTCTCTCTCTCTCTCTCTCTCTCTCTCTCTCTCTCTCTCTCTCTCTCTCTCTCTCTCTCTCTCTCTCTCTCTCTCTCTCTCTCTCTCTCTCTCTCTCTCTCTCTCCATGCCTCCTCCCTGTTCTAAATTTACTGCTCATTTTGTGGCCGTGGCTTCTGTCGGATGCTCATCGCTTCCTTCCCATTACTTCTCGCGCTGGCACCGACCCAGTTATTTCACACCAAGCTCACCGTTTCTATTCATAATATACCTCTCTGCCCACGTGGGTGTCGCTTCACCCGTGCCAAGAAGCTAACTAGCCGTGGACGGGACGGAGCTTTCTCGCGACATTTTGGACAGGAGCCCGGAGGTGCCCTAAAACTCACAGCTAGCTGGCTGATCTTTGCGTGCGTCGAGGTTTTAACTAGTTTCATATATGTGTCTTCATTGGGGTTTCTCTTAGCTTGGCCATCTCGTTTCACTTCTGGTGCTCAGGGTATGAATGGTGGACGGTGGTCCCTGGTCCCACATTACGCATTGGTCAGACTCAGACTGCGTTCTCCCGCTGTCCTCCCCGAGCCGTCGGCTAAGCGTATTTGTTCTCCGCTGGGCATTGTGGCGAGATTTGGCTTTGCGTTGGCCTTCCGGGCGGCTATTGAGGTCTGATGCGGCTGCTGCTGGCTGCGGGACCGGGGGGGGGGGGGGGGTAGAACGACCGGCCGGTTGGGCGGGCGGCAGGCTGCGGGCGGGGCGGTATGGGCGGGCGGGCGGAGCGCCGCCGGCACTGCCGGTCGCCTTTTGTTGCCAGTGACGACTGTCGCCAGCCGACGGACATATATCCCTTCACAACTGTCAGCAGGCACAGTGGACGGCGTACGACCTCCGCCAGAGCGGCTCTGGACCGCGATAGATGAGAGGGGATAGAGGGATCAGTGCCAGGCCGCGATCCAGGAACAACAGCCGATATACGGGCCGGGTTCAGGGCCCAAATCGGGATCAGGATCACCAGATGACGGAAGTAGAGGGAGCTTAGATGGATTTGTATTGTATTGGCAGTTCCTGGCTGCCAGTAGGTCATCGCTTTAGAGGACGAGATCGGGTCAGCGACTTGGTATGTTTAATCGCCCATAGAACGGAAGCCGTTAAAGACCACAAAGGAAATGGAGGCTGTTGTCGCGGCCATCGTGGTCAGAAGGTCGCCGATGTCAGAGGTCCTTGGCTCATTTCATGGCCAGTTGCATTTAAAACTCAGAAACCGCGTCGTTGTTGCGGCTTTACGGTTGCGTTGAGAGGTGATAAAATTTCGTCCGGATTTTAGTGACACGTAAACGTAAACAATAAATAAACAATAAACATAATATTAATAAAATAAACAATAAAGACGTAAACAATCTGTTTCTGGTTTGCCATGTCAGACGTGCGCTGGCGTCTGAGTCAACGTGTTGACAGTTTTAGGGAGGAGTTTTACCTTGTAGTGATTGTCTCGACTGTGGCTGATAAATTAACTGACGGATTTGATCGATTGTCTGTCCATGTATCTCGGATGGGACACATTCCTTTTCAGTCATGGCCAAGTCAGGGTCAGAATTGACAGAAAGTTGGGATGGTCTGTCCTTTGCGGGGATAATTTGCATACATTCTAGGATACTATTCGGCAGCTAAAAATAGGCATGGTGTTAGTGGCCATGACTTGAGGTGACAAGTGTGGCAATATTTACTTGTCACAATTGTCACCTTAAGTCATGGCCATGGTGACAAGTGTGGCAATCTTGGTGTGTCATTTTACCGGATTATACAATTCGTCTTTTCGACACATGCCAACTGAATATATTTTAGTACCTGATGATAAGCTTCTTACCTTCGTACTCGAACGCGCAGTAAACGTTTGCCAACGCCGACGAAAGCCACTATTTCTATAAGCACGAACGACAACTTTCCAAGCCCAACAACCTCCATTAATCACGTCTTGCGTACCTTCGTTTTACTCGCCACTCGCTTATCTCCCAAACCCTGTTTGTGGGCAGGATTTTGCGGAATAACGCCATCCGCCGGATACCAGCACGTCAGTTCTCCCGGCTTCCGAAGCTGCGGAAGCTGGATATGAGCGACAACAGCATCACGGACGTCGACGATGACGCCTTCAAGGGCGCTGGACGACTACAGGACATGTGAGTAGCTCGCGAACTGAGACTGGATGGAATAGATTGTTCACGCACCACCACCGCCGCCTATTTCATTTGTCCCATAAGCGGCCTACGCCAACTGTGGTCGTATAGGCCGCTTGTTTGCAATGATATGCACTTCATTTTCTTGATGCTGCAGGAAGGTGTAGCGGAACAGTTTCCTGTATAGCATTGTGAAATATAGCCCCATTTCCAAATCTTATTTATCTCAAATTCCCGCATCAATCATCCGCTTAGTGTTTTGTCCGTCATTATATTCCCTTATCCCGTCCCCTCTGGCGGACATATAACCCCGTTTCTGACCCAGTGACCGTGTGCTGTATATCCTGACCACTCCCATCCCTGCGGCAGTGGGGGTGATGCTATCTCCTCTCCCCTTCCCCTCTCCTCGCCTCCCCCATTGATAATCCCCCAATTGGCGAGGCCGTCGTGCGGCACTGGCCACCTTTCATCGGCGCCGATATCGACTATTGACCCTCGCCGATAGCCGGTGCCGCGTCAGCCCGGCCTGATCCGGCACAAATGGGATACGTGAAATATGTCCTGGCGGCTGCCATCACGCGGTTAATCCGCCCGTTCTGACCGCCGGACTTTGGGTCGGTGGGCCCCTGGTGATGTGGTGACGTACGTTTCGGGACGTTTTGACGGTGGTGTCAGTCCAGTGTCGGTTTTGTGGGTAGTTAGGTATTTTTGTTGGCGGAACAGGTAGTTTGGGGGTAAATTTGTTCGACAGGAGTTGATTGGACGGTTTCTGGGAATGTCAGTGGTATCTGTGGTCTGCCATGAGATTGTTATGATGATAATTTTTTGAGTGATAGTGGGCTTTGCGCGGTGCCTTCTGCGGATGTCTGACTGATGGCCCATTGCACGCGTCGGTCGCTGACATGAGGTTAGCAAATCATCAATCTATATTGAGAACCGGACATCTAACATACCGAGAACAAGGGATGAAATTTATCATCCTCTGGTAAACCCCGGCCGCCGGATCATAAGTTGGAAGCTAATGGCGCGACAGGAACACACTGCATATGTTGAGGAGGGCTCAAGCGAATTAATTATTCATCCTTAGACGCCGTCGGCTGGCTCAGAGGACCCCAGTCAATGGTCTGCGGTCGGCGTGTGACTGTGACTGATGGACGGAACTGCTGTGACTGCAGCACGTGGCTCGTTACCGACGCTTGTACCCCGTTAAAGACATAATGGACGGCGCCGTCAGAAGCCGCCATTTATCCAGCGCCGTTTGTCTGTGCTCACCCCGTGTGTCGGCTGAGGTTTTCAAGGCACCTTCGGAAGTACCGCTAATGCGATTTAGTGGTCCCGCGACTAGAACCTTTCCTAAACGAGCGGCTGCCAGCAAGGTGAACTGCCTACTCGGCGCTCATTTCTCTCGGTGAATGTCTCAGCCCCGTCTGACCCAGTGAGTCTCCATATCAGCCACTGACCCGGACCACATACTGTACTGCCCCAGTGGCCGGCTCGGCCCGCTCGTCTCTTTTCGTCTACTCTGTTTGCTGCGGCGCCGGGCGATATTGCCAGCCAGGCGGCTGCTGTGTACTGACCGCCGTGTCTGCTGTGCGCGGCGGGCGGGCACACAGTGGTCCTCGGCGGCCGGCGGCAGCTCTGTTAGCTCAGCACACACACACAGTGGTGGATTCTCGGACTGAGGCAGCTTCTGCAGCTCTGTGGGCGAGCAGCCGGCCCGGTATTCAAGGCCGGACAGAGGCGCTTTGTCTGAGCTGGTGAGAACGAACAGGCGGTGGACAGACCAAATGACTTCCGCGTCTACAGGCAGTTCGTGGTAGGTTGTGGTTAAACCATTCGTTTTCAATCTAATTGTTTTCTAAGCTGTAAACGGTGAAGGAACCTGTTTCCATTATAGCGTGGCACACCTACCCATTTGCAACTTTTCTTTTATCGGTGATTTTGGTATAGATAACTATAGGCATTGCAAACGCAATGCAGTGATAAATATCATTGAACATGTATCTAGCATATTATATTTTAAATATGGTGATAAAGCAATCTACTGACGTTGGAAGACCATATGCATCATAGAATTGAAGTACTTATTGTTCAGTGTCACGCTATCTAACAAATGGAAGGCAACATACATTTTTAGCATTTCTTTGACCTTATAGATTATGTCGATGGCGTTCCCTTCTTTCAAACGTGAAGAAAATTTGTTTGAATCGTCTGAGCTCAAATAGAAGTCCATCGCCATGGGAGATGCTGATTCGAGTGACTGGCGAGTTCCTTCAGGTAGCCACCCACTTCAGGGTCCAATAGCCCAACTGTTCGTCCCGGCCGTCTGAAGTGCATTGCATTGCAGTGCATTTTTCCTGGACGGGTGTCAGGTGTTCGGGCCCACTCTCCAGTCAATATTGGTCGGCGTTGAGACGACGCGACCTTGCTGGGTGCAGTTGGCTCAGCTGCTGTGTGGTACCCCACCAGGCTTCTGTCTGATGTGTCGTCTTTTCTCTACACTGCAACGATCGTTCAGTAGTCTAGTCCGACCACCCACCCTTTGCTGACGCTTCGCTGAGAAGCTTCAACTGGTCGTAGGCCGATTTAAAAATCTTAAAGACGTGCGGAAAGATACCATCACTGTGGCGACCTATTTTAATTAGCAAACCGTGATGATATCTGCTGAACGAAACCTGTCACCGTGGGTGGGCGCTGGGCGACCTGCTGCAGCCCAGTCGAGCCGAACTCGATCGGACTTAAATCCGAGCAGTGGACAGCTGATTTGATCGGCTTTCTGTCCCAGTGCTGATCGGTCTTTAGGCTGCACGCACGCCTTGTTGGACGTGTGGGACGTATCGCTGAGCAGTTGTCAGTTTTGGTTAGGGAGACGGTTTTTATTGCGCCAACGCATGTGGATGTGGAAGAGCTGTTTGACATTTCTATCGAATGTATGTGATAATAAGCTACAAAAGATTATAATTATAACTCCATCCACCCATTTTTAAGGTTGTACTGCATATATGTATTTTATGTGTTCATTATTAGCGCTGTTTTTGTTTGTAGGCTGACTGCAATCTGCATACGAAACGCGGAATATTTGTCTAACGAATTATTCTTTCGACAGCACTTTGACCAACAACGACATCCAGCACATTCACGATGGCATGTTCCGAGGACTGCGATCCCTGACCACGCTGTCGCTCTACAACAACAAGATCACCTGCGTAATGCCGGGTAGCTTTGACGACCTGAAGAACCTCAAAACACTGTAAGTATAGCTACCACATACATAGGCATCTGTGCAAACAGATACGCTTCAGACTCAATCTCCTCTGGCTCAATTAAATTCATAAAAGTGTAAATTAACCGCCTTGGGTCGACAGAGCGGTCGTAGGAAATTCTTAGAAAACCCGCAGCATTGTTACGATAAAACGGCGTCACGTCCCTTTGGTTAACCAGATTAGTTAATTATGCTTAAGAAATCCACTCGGCGCCCCAAGCATCCAGCTTCCTAATTGCAAGGAGGTCTTATGAATGTCAACTCTGGCTAGCCTCTAAATTAGGGCTCATTTCCCGCTGACGGAAACGTTATGCTGTAAACGGCCCTCGGTAGTTAACCCATTATTAATGTTTTGTAGGACCAACTACACTTTGCTGCGTCTTTACCTCACTTTCAGTGACAATTAGTTGCCATGAATGAATGCAGGATACAAATATCCACGTGTCTAGCCGCGGGATAACTTTGTGCACAAGTGTGAGTCTGACGCCTTTTCTGTTGCCATTCGCAGGAATCTCATGTCGAACCCGTTCAACTGCAACTGCCACCTGGCCTGGTTCTCTGATTGGCTGAGGACCAATGACGTCACATCTGGCAGCCCGCGCTGCCACCGGCCGTCGCGGCTGCAGGATACACCAGTGGACGAGATATCGGTCCACGAGTTCACGTGCACGAGTGAGTTACCCTGACCCGCACCATGTCCTCGCCTTGTTCCTAGAATCTCGACACCAAATTGCCTGTCGATTTACGAATGATTATCCCATCAGAAGTGAGGAGGAGGTTCGGCAGAAGTGACTTCAATACACGATAAAACAATATCGTGGCATCTGTAGATCGTTACCTTTAGCTCATTTAATCATTGGAAAGAGAAAACTTAGCGGTATAAGTTGAACATCGGAGGGGCTACTTCTCTCCTTTATGTCTTCCATTCGGTAGCAGCATTTCATTGTCGACTACACATATCCCTCCACTGACCTATTGCGGCCTAATCTAACAGCTCCCGTGTTTGTCCACCGTTTTATCACCTGACGCATTTACCGGCCACCGATCGAACGTGTGAGGCATTCCATCTACGTCATCGGCACAAATCGTCGCCCAATGCCCAGGCGTGACATTTAATGCGATTCGACGGCAGCCGCGGCCTGGAGGCGCTATCAGTCCGGGGAACGTGGTGCAAACTCATCGATACTGGGAATGCACATAACTTATCGGCAACTTGGGGCGACGTTCGACACGTGGTTTTAATTGTTGCGATTTAGTGAAACGTAACAGAGTGATTGAAATTTCAGTCGGCGACTTGAATCGTACACTGTTTGGGTTTTAGCTGCATTTTCGGGAGCATGCAGTAACCGTGTACTGTGTTGTATTTTTTAATGAGCTGGCTCGTTTTTTTTTTTTTGCCAACTCGTTTTGCTAAAATTTAATCCTTGACTCCATCATCATCGTTTATTATCTCATCGTTTTTTCTTCCTTACATCCTATCCTCTCAATTACTCAGCTTCACTGAATGCACACTCGTGCGTGCCGCTACTGCTAACGCCGCGTGACTGGCTGGTTGTCATAACCTCTGACCCGTGACCTCTGTGACCCTCGGTGTGACCGCTGTGACCCCCGCAGGTGATAACAGCGCCGGGTGTCTGCGCGCCGGCTACTGTCCGACCCACTGCAACTGTACCGGGACGGTGGTACGGTGCAGCCGCGCGCAGCTCACCGAGGTGCCCGAGGGAATCCCGGATCTCACTACAGAGCTGTGAGTGCTGAGGGTACCGGGAGGGTACCGCTGGGTTCTAAAGGTATGCACCACCGCTGGGGCCTGTGGGTACCACCGAGCTGTGAGTACCGCCGGTATCGGGAGGGTACCGCTGGGGTCTGTGTGTACTGCTGGTATCGGAATGGTATCGCTGGGTTCTGCGGGTACGGGCGGGGAAACTCAAAGGTGTCATACATTGTAAAAGCGTCTTGTTTTTATCATCCGTGCACTGCCCAGGATGTAGATGTTTCCATACCGTCGCTACCAAATGCCCACCGCTGCCGACGGTCAGGTAAACAACTAGGAATTTTAACAACGAGCGGCGATTCCCTTGTCTGATTATGATAATACCTGCGGCAGCATGTCTGTACCGTGAATTTTACAAAACTGTCTACATCGCGATTCGAACTATCGTGATACCATGCAGGTGACAAATTTAATCTTAATATGCAACCTTAGTTCCGAGTTCTTGCAGTTTTGTATGCATATCGTTATCACGAACACGTAAAATGTTTCACGTTATTATGTACTGGCGCCGCTATCTCTGCCAATGTTTGCTACCGCGTTCAAAATGTGTAGCCCAGTAGCACGGTCTTGGGCGGTTATAGCAAGCCGAGATACTCCACCATACGACTTTTACGGCTATACAGAAGCGGATCGTAAGGTCAGGAAGCCTGTAAACTCGTCGTTAATGCCATTACCCTACCACAATGCACGTCAGATGATGAATCAACATCTAATCTTTTTGCTCCGAGATTACGCTTACATAATTCATTAGCATCATGCCATGGATTACACCATTGTAGCAGGATAAGATATGAGTCGATTTCCGCTTCACGCTGATCCGTGTGACTTTCCTGGAATGCGGTGGCGATTAGTTCTGTTCAGTAATACAGTAAACTAGGCTGGAAACCGCACCGGTTCGTTTCTGCTGTCAGTTGGCTGGTATTTGTGAGCGTTCCTTCAAACTTAGATGCATAACTGGGTCCTAAATTGTGGCGCCTCTGCGGGCGGCCTGCCGGAGACAGCCTGGCTGCACGACGGCCGGTAAACACTGGCGGGGCGGGGGCGTTGGCGGCAGGGGTCTGTGGGCAGTCTGTCGTCGCCAGACAGTGCTGGTCAGGTCCCCGGGTCCGGCGGAGTCCCAGTCAGTGCGGCGCCGGCACCCGCCCCGCCGTCCAACTCGGCTGGTCGTGTAATACTGGTCCGGCCAGTACCGACCGACCCAGGCCGGCTCCGCGGGGGTCGGGACCGTCCAGTAATGAGATGGGCGAGTCTGAACCGCGGCCGAGACCGCCACCGCGCGTCCAGCGGTGATAATGGCCCGAGGAGCCCGCAAAACAATGGCACTGGCCCGCCTCCTCACTGGAGGGCAGTCGGCATTCATGGAATGCGTGTGCTGCCGCCGCCATCGCCGCCGCCGCCACCGACATAGTCCTGCCCAGAGTTATTATCGCACTGTCTCGGCGGCTGACGGTGGTGATGTGTTTCCATTCCCGTTTGCCCTCGTGATAAATGAGCAAGGCGACGATGAGGGATAAACAAAAACGCTCAGCCGAGGAGCCACCAGCGCATGATATGCGCGCCGACGCACGTGAAACCGAGGCCCCCGGGAGGGATTTAGTTATCCGCGACAGCTGAATGGGCGCTGCAAATGACAGTGGAAGGCGCCACGGAAGGGTGGAATGGTGATATAATGGGATAGGAGATGGGATGGATAATGGGATTCAGCTATTCCGACAGTCCAGGAGAAGATATATGGCCTTTAATAAACTTAAGTTGTACGTTCCTGTCGATGGATGTTCGCCGGGAATAATGGCAATTACTTTCACTCCCCAGCCGAGTCTAGCGTCGCCTTCCGTCAGCGAGTTTTCTGGGGATGGGGGCGAAGTAATTGTATGTTTCCATCAAGAGATCGGTTGTATTTTAGCCGGTCGAGGCTTTAGTGTTTTCAGCTGTGAATGATTGCATGTTAGGTATACCTAGTGTTTAGCCGAATTGAAAGCTGAAAGCCTTGTTTTGTTTCAAGGATCGCCAGTTATAGGTACTGTTATCAGTTTTACACTCATTTTGGCCTCAAATAGCTGGCATGTTATTGTTAATATAACCACCTATGTAACGCTCCGAATGTAGCCGCCAGTTACTCACTATCAAATTCGAATCGGTAGCGTAGTAAATCACTTTAATACATTCCACGCCAAACAGCCACTTGTGCTAACACCCTGCTCAACGTAACGTATGCACTATCGGCATGAATCGCTGGATGGCAACACGCAATTTATTGATCGACTCGCTGCATTTATGATCACCGTGTTGCATGTGTCGGACGGCAGAACTTGTCACAGCGGCGTGGCGCACCATTCGTCGTGCTGTCGCGCGTGTCTGGCGCGGTGTTCGCGCGCGTTTCTCGTCGCAGTCGCCGCGCTGGACAGCGTTTCGGGCACGGAAAAATGACGGACGGACCGGCGGCGGCCCTGGGGCGGCTCCTTTGTCGGTCGCGGCTCATGGTTCGCGTGGTTTGTACGGGCGAGGTGACACGCTCCGCGGCGCTGGTCTGCACCGCGGATACCGGGGAGTTGTTTGATGGTGCCGACAGCGCCACCTGCCCCGGGCGGGCCGTGGGTCTGTCACGGGCCCGTCATCAGTCTGCCACGAGTCTGTCATCAGTCTGTCACGTGTCTGGCGCGCGACCGTGTCAGATCTGTGGCGGATCTTTTAGTGGTTTAGCTGCAACGACTTTTACCGGGTTTGTGTCGCGTGTACTGTGTTACGAATTAGAAGCGGATTTGAGAGAGCTTTGCTAAAATCTGGATAAGCTGTTCCTTCATGATTCACATACCTATGTACTTCCCTTTGTGTTATCCTGTTGTGCTTAGCGTGTCTCGCCGCCTGTCTCGCGCACTCTTATGTCGTTACTCTTGCTTATATTTTCTTGTTTCTCTGTTTCATCCCACCATCTTCCATCATCTTCCCGCCCCTACACCACATCACTCCATCTCCCTGCACCAACATTTGCACATCACGCTGGCGCGGTGCATCACACGTGTCCCCGCACAGCCGCTTCCGTCAGCTCGCTAACCGGTCTGCTCTCATCTCTGCCGCAGGTACCTGGACGTCAACCAGCTGCGATCCGTCAACGCCAGCCGGCTGTCACATCTGCGCCATCTGACACGCCTGTGAGTACCCCCCCCCCCCCCCCCAGCCGCGAAGGCCGCCCCGCCCCGCCTGGACCGCGGGCTGGAATCAAGTGCACGCTTCAGTGCAGGCTCTCCCTTCTCAGCCATCTCGCTCACACCTACAAAAACGCCAGAGGTGATGGGCCGCTGCTTGATAGGTGACGAATGACGAGCGGTGACGAACGATGACAGGCATTGGCCAGAAGAACTAAAATGTGAATATCGGTGACCGCAAGAGACGAGAAATGACCTTTGAAGGCGGATACTGTGATGGTGACTTTCGGTACTCAGAAAAACTACAATGTAAATGTGACTAGACGTATCTGGGATATACTATTGCCTATCAGTGATCAATGCATAAGGGCCAACGGGTGATCAGTCCGGACCTTAGATGATCAGTAGATGATCAGAGGGTGACCAGATGTGACCAAATGTGACGCTCGGTGACGGAAGTAACCGGATGTGACGGCCGTCGGACTGTGACGGGTGAGCGCTGACGGTATGTGACGAAGATATGAAGGGAGCGCCGCCGCGGTGCAGGCTCCAGCGCTCCTCTGCAGAGCGGCAGAAGGTGCCGCGTCTGAGGTTACGTGTGTGAAGTGCCGGGAAAACGAGCCAGACGCAGTTCATTCACCACCACGTGCCGCAGAGGTGCCGATGGATGGAATATTGCCGCGGCTATAGGCTGTTCAAGAAGCGTGCGATCCGAGCGGAAGGAATATTGAAGGTGTGAACGGCCAGAAACACAAAAAAGTTTTTACAGTTTTTTCTCTATACCAATGAGAAGCTCCCCAGATTGCTGACTGTTGTCATTTCTTTGATTGAAATATCGCCTACATGAGTGTTTTATTGCAACCTTTACCGTCACAGAGAATCTATGTAAAATGTACATTAGCATATGCTGAGTGCTGACCAGCCTTTCTAATTCTTTGTTTCACAGAGATCTCAGTAACAACCAGATCGCTGTCCTGAGCAACAACACCTTCAGCGATCTCAAGAAGCTTTCAACCCTGTAAGTACTTAGTGCGTGAACAAGAAACTAACAACAACTGAGTCCAAGATCGCGAACATGCCGCTTATGGATTTAATATTAGTTTTGAACTTGGAGTGTTGCATGCCTTATTGCAAACAAATGTCTTCTAACATGTTGTGTTTGATTTATTGGATTCACTATTCCTACTCATATTTGAACGCCAACGCCGAACAGCATTTTTAGCAGGAAATCCTATTTATAAGAGCAACTCTGTCCCACTCTACCGTTACCGACTGCCGGGTTGTCCCCTGTGATGTATCTATCCAGCTATCTCCCTACCAACCCTGTCCCAGCGGCTCCCAGACCTGTCTCCGATACCTAAATACGTCGTTCATCAGAGGCGTTTATCGGGCCCACACTGATCTGGTAAAGCCGTCCCACGCCGATAGCCCGAGCTGCGGCAGCACGGCTTCGCCGCAGCTTCAGATGGGCGCTGGAAGGTCGAGGGCTGGGGCAGCTTTGATCAGAGTATGAGAGATGTGGTTAAGAGGGAGCCTTTGGCAAGGCTAGAGGTGGTGTCATGGGGCTAACGTGTAGCTAGAAGCCGCTTTGGATCTCGTATTCACAAAGACTGCCTGGTGGCTGTTTTGAGTATTTTCAGAGCTCACCGAGATAACCTCACAGAGCTTGTCTTACACAATTTTCTGAGAACATATTTACTCGTTAAATTTGGACGGGAATTCAGTCAGGATAAAAACAATTCTAGTCACCATTGGTAACCGTATCTGTGGTGAATCGATCCAGCCGTCTTGGTCAGTTGACTCAGCTCAACGAACCCTTACATACGACCCAGTGTCGCCGCCTGAGTAACACCCGCTGAACGCTGTTCATCCTCGGCGGAGCAGAGATGACATGTGGGCCGTATTTGTATGCATGGGCCACGCTCAGATGATCTAGTTTGGTCTGCAACCAGAGGACGGCATGAATTCTCTGCGCGACGTTATTAGTGGCTATTTTTAGACGGATGTATGTCAGCAGGGAAGTGGGTGTGAGCTGACAGCCTTTCTCTCACTCATTGCTAATTCATGCGGCTTTAAACGGTGCATGTTTACCATAAAATTATGATTAAACACAACGTTATCAACGCTACACTTCCCAGCACCAACAACTTTAGGTGAAGAAGACATGTTGGCCTGAGAGTTTTCTCTTTGTATTTCATGCTCCCTTTGTAATTTGCGCCCTACCTATAGAGATCAGTGTAATGTTGATCTCCGGACTCCGGATCGCCTTTCTTCTCTGACCGCTCCCTCTCCCTCCCTCAGGCTGGTCAGCTACAACAAGCTGCAGTGTGTCGAGCGCTCGGCCCTGGCCGGGCTGAAGGCTCTGCGTATCCTCAGTCTACAGGGTAACGACGTCTCCCAGCTGCCGGACGGCGCGTTCGACGACCTTCGGGACATCACACACATCGCGCTCGGCTCGAACCCGCTCTACTGCGACTGCGGCCTGCGCTGGCTCTCCGACTGGGTGAAGGGCGACTATGTGGAGCCGGGTATCGCGCGCTGTGCCGAGCCGCGGCAGCTGCAGGACAAGCTGGTGCTCACCACGCCCTCCAGCAAGTTCACCTGCAGAGGTGGGTCAAGGTGTGGGACGGGTGAGTAGGTAGACGAGTGGAGCGGGATGTGAGATTTGAGAAGGGGTAGTGTGATGTGAGTTGGGGATGTTAGAATGCGGGCGTCATTGAAGAACGTCATGTGCTTCTGGGTTTTCTCTGACTTGGGATGGGTGATATGAAGGTCATGGGTCCTACATAATGAAGTTGGCAGTGCGGTGGTCAGGAAACCTAAGCACTTCAGTTACTTTTCTATAGATCAAACAAATACGACCATTTGATTTCTATCCAAATACTGATTGAGTTGGTGGAACATGCCTTGTAGCTAGGCTTTGAGCGCTCCACGCAAAGGCTAGAGGCCTCGCCGTATTCATTCCGACTTGATATGTTCGCCTCCTGGCAGGGTTTGATGACCCAATGCAAGTTAAATCATACGTCGTTCAGATATGACGACTCTAAGGCCGTGTATGTTGTCCATGTCATACCGGCGTCGCACCTCGCTCGCTACACCTCATCGAGCAGGGAATCGTCACTCAGTGAACCTATCGATGGCGAAGAAAGCTCGCACGATACTGCTTTCGCCGTGCTAACAAGAGGCTGTTTTTGGGACCTACATCGTCGCGATACCGCCTTAGCGCACCCGATGAAAGGGCACTGGAATGTTGAGCAGGAGCCTTGAGTTGCTCATGATAGTATCCATTTCGATGTCGGCGTTACATTGTAATGCGGCCTTCGCTTCAACTGACACTGCATACTTTGTCATCACGAACAAACAATGGAATTCCGTTGTCTTTGCCAATGTCATTTCGTGGGCGGGACTACGATTCGGTGAATATATGACTGGGTGGATATTATGGCATGATTAAAGGTAGTGTGCCAGCTTTCTTGGACCGTATGGAGTTAATGGCCCAGGTAAGGAGAACCGGATTTTTAGAACTTATCCATACCTTCAAAACTCATGGAAACGTCTTAAATTCTTCAAATTTTGAGTACCCCAGTGCGAAATTCGCCCCGACGGGTTGTCGGTCGTACCCCAACCACATTTCACACCACTATGAACAATAAATGCACACACTGAAATCGCTATTACCGATATGCTCATCCAATCAAGTTTCGATAAACCCGTTCATCATCAGCTCCTGCGGTTTCGAACACGCCTGTTAGGTGGTGCGGTAGACCACGCCCAAAGCCAGGGCCCCGGTAACGTGAGGTAGCCGAGTCAGGGCAGCGTGCGCTGACCCAAGCCGGAGCCGCGCGTCCTCCCGGTGTCATGTGATAGCCCGGGGCTGCCCGCGGGGATGCGGTAGACCGCGCCCAAAGCTGCGGCCCCGGCTTGGGTCAGCGCACGCTGCCCCGACTCGGCTACCTCACGTTACCGGGGCCCTGGCTTTGGGCGCGGCTTCTGCTCATACTTTGTGGTGCGGTGGTGGTGCGTCGGGCTGCGCGCTCTGACTTCGGCCAAGAAAAATGCGTCAGCTGATCATTGTCATTTCTGCCACTTGCGTGTGGTGAAATGGGGTCATAACTTATAAGACGGCTTTTTCATATCAATTATTTTACATAAAATCATATTTCAAACCATAAATAATGTTCGGCAGCCAAATAAAAGAAACAATACCAATACGGGCTTACAGTTTAAGGCTCGACATTGTGTTGTCTACGATTAGACAGCTGATAACTCATTCCCGTACGTCGTATGGTCGTAACACTATAATGACCTTTGCTTATTGTCACAAGTGCGCCGCATTCGCGATTGTTGCCCGACGCCTGTTTGCAGGTGAGCCCACTACAGTTGTTATACATATCTAAAAACCGATAAACTTTTAGGCGAAAAAGGCACTATTCCAGGCCCATTTTTGATTTTTTTTGCGATATTAGGTAAAAACAGAAGCTTCTTATCCTAGGAAAAATAAAATGGGAAATCTTTCAAAGGTGGCACACTACCTTTAATTAACATGACATCGACCATGAAAGCATTCATGGCCAGTGATTAATCCTGCTATCTAAAATTAAATCATTTTAAGCACTACATCGCTTCTGCTTCCTCCTTTCCTGGTTCGGAGGTGCCACAGTGGTCCCAGACGCCACGATGTGATTTCCTGTTGATGTGAAGTTCAAGATACCTGCGTTGAAATGTTACCCTGTATCACTGCCATAGCTGCCTCCCAGCTAAATGCCATTTTCTCTTACGGTCTTGTATTCACGCCTTTACCCTTTCTCGCTGTCTCTTCCTCACGCCTTCCCTCACCTTCACGCCTTCTCTCGCTGTCTGACACTGTCTCACGCTGAGATCTCCACGAGTTCCCTGGGGACCTTCCATCCCCACGGCTGTCAAGGGGAACTCTTCGGTCCTGCACTCCCTAAGGACCGGCTTGCCATACAATCTGACGGCTCGGTCTCTGGGGAAGTTCGTTATCGTGCGAGCAGCCTGCTCCCGAGCGGTAGTGAAGACTGAGTGACATTCAGATACTGGAAATGACGCGCTGGAAGCGGTGGCGCAGGTTCTCACTTCTCCTTGGCCAACGCTAGCTGCGGAGAAGCACGCATACCTTCGCTACAGACGCCGCCTAAATGCCTATGCATCAAAGTTGGCACAATCTACGTTTTCACAATATAGAGGACACCCTTGCCCGCCTGAGGCGGTAGCTGAGCCCAGTCTCGGGCACCCAGCCGCTGCGTCGGCGCCGCTCGCCAGCCGTCCGTCCAGCCGGCTCTGACCGGGCGTCACGTCTGATTGTGGTTGATGGCGTCCGTGACGCGAACACCGACTAGCTGCACGGCCATAAATGAAGCCGTAAACGACAGCACAATTCAATTTATGTCGTCTCCGGCGCTAAGCGTTATGCTCGTGGCTAGGCGCGTCACGAATGGATACGATGCTGCGCTGGTATTGCGACTGCTTCGAACTTGAATGACGGACGAGCTTGAATGCGGATATTGCAACATCATACACCAGTTTGTGGTTGTTTATTACAGAAAAGAAAATAAGAGATTGTATGATTGAGGGGATTCAGCTTTCGTAGTTTAGCTTGGTTTCAAGTCAGCTCATGTGCTTGATTCCAGGACACTAGTCGCAACTCGCAACGTTTGGTAATGACTATGACCCTTCTGATACATGGCCGAAGTAGAAGACATTCGTGAATCCAAATATGTTCGGGAGTAGCTAACACTCAGTCTGGCTTCAATCTGTGATTCATCCAATAAGGTAGTAATTCGGTCTCGATAAGGTGCAGCCCATGTCCTCTCCACAAATACGCCACGCTCTTAAATGAACACATGTAAATCCATTGTGAGCTCATGATAAGTATACTCTTATCGGAACATTGTTTTGTTGATCAAGGATGTGAAGATTTTATACTATCCGTTGTAATCCTTCGAGCAGACAAATAATCTTTGTCTGCCACATATTGCCCGCCAGATGTGAAGGTCAGATTTTGCCCAGGTGTCTCTGTGTGATGTCCGTGTTCCTGGAAAAGTCCGTCACAAACTCCCTGGTCACGGCCGGCGTGTCGCCCCATTGTCTGACACGGCGGTCGTCTAGTCTACTTCCGTCTCACCGTCTAGTGGATATTCCATGAGTCACAATTAGCTCAGCAGATCACCGATCGAGGGAGGGACTGCAAAAGTGAGCAAATGTCTCAATATGAGCGAAATGCCGGTGATTGTATAAACTGCCGTCCAAGGAACAGTAGGAGCAACGCCTAAATTCCTCAAAATGGACAGATTTCTGGCCAGACAACTAGCTTTATATCAACACCTGACTCGCAGTTCATGTGATCATCGAGTGACGAAATGACCATCTGAGATTCCCGCCCGTCCCCAGGTCCGGTGCGCCGTGAGGTTCTCGCCAAGTGTAACGTCTGTTACACTGACCCGTGCGAAAACGGCGCCACGTGCACGCCACACGGCGAGCAGGAGTACACGTGCACCTGCGCGGCTGGCTTCTACGGCGAGAAGTGCCAGTCCAAGATCGACGCGTGCTACGGAAACCCGTGTGATAACGGAGGAACGTGCAAGGTCGTCGAGCAAGGCCGATTTACGTGAGTAATGCGGTGGTTAGGTCATACGTACGAAATGCAGGAAAAAGGCGAGGGAATCATGCCTGGTTTGCGGTGTGCTTGATGGGCCTGATGATTCAAATCAACTGTAAGCTACTGCTTTCTTTTGTGTGTTGTGTTTTACATATCGGGTAATGATCAGCGCCCAAAATGCTCCTTCCGCTGCTGCAGCTGGATGGCTATTGCTTACTTATGTGTCCTGCAGCTGTCATTGAACACATCTCGCAGTATACCTACGCCTTTCACGATTTAAGTTGAAGCATAAGTGTGCAAAACAAATGTTCTCCATAGGGACTAAGTCAACAGCCTTTGCTTTACCTGAGAGCACTTATTATTACGTACTTTCCACATTCTGTCAGCAAGTCAGATCACCACTCCTACCTAACCGCACCGTTCCCGCCCGCCAGCTGTCACTGCCGGGCCGGTTTCTCTGGAGACCGGTGTCAGACCAACATTGACGACTGCCTTGGCCACCGATGCGTCAACAATGCCACCTGCGAGGACGGCGTGAACCAGTACCGCTGCCGGTGTCCGCCAGGGTTCGCCGGTAGGTGGCAGGACAGTCGCGCCGCCGCGTTGGGACCTGGCTGACAGGACGAATGTCTTGATAGATGACAGGATAGTCGCCGTTGTTGTGTTTGCGAACGCAAGGTGGTGTCCCTGCGATGAGTGATATTATAAATTTGCGATGAGCTGGATGAAGCTGGTTTAGTTCAGCTAGTATTTGAGCGTTGCTCACCGCCTCAATGTTACCTCATTATGCTGTATGTCTTCAGGTCAATATTGCGAGAAGGAGATCGAGTACTGCAGCAAGAGCTTCAACCCGTGTAAGAATGGTGCCACGTGTGTGGATCTGGGGACCTCGTACAGCTGTACTTGCCCCACCGGCTTCCAGGGACACAACTGCTCCGACAACATCGACGACTGCGTTAACCACCTCTGCCAGGTGAGGATCCTCTGCTCGATTATGACTTGAACAACTCAGACTTCTCATTGGGTTAGGCTGTCGAATTCCTTTGAGAATCATGTTTGCTCTTCATTTAGTTAGATAGGACACTAGGATTGACCTTATAACAGCAATTGTGCATCACCACCTGACTGATCCTCGCCCACCCCCAGAACGGCGCAGCCTGCATCGATGAAGTCAACGGCTACTCGTGCAAATGCTCAGGCGACTTTTCCGGCAAGTTTTGCGAGCTGGGCCCGATGGTGGCTCTCAACTACCCGCAGACGTCTCCTTGTCAGCAGCATGACTGCAAGAACGGCGTCTGCTTCCAGCCAAAGAACTCTGCCGACTACGTGTGCCAGTGCTACGCCGGCTACTCGGGTACGTAATGCCTGGGCTCGGGATATAATGTAGGTCATGGTGGAGATATAGAGGCTTAGAACGTTACAGTGACTTGACTAGGATACATTTTGACCAACGTAGCGCAACCAACCTGTTTGGTGATTGACCGTTAGCGATGATCAATGGCATGGTCAAATCGAGATCAATGATCAATCATGTAATCATCGATTCATATCAACTCTCAACAATTCAACATTAGTAATCGTGCCTTTCATGGCATCATGACTATATATAAATATAGTTATAAACCCGTGCTTTTGTGGCAGACTGATCGTTTAACCGTGGGTCTGTTTTGGGACCAATAGCCTGCCGTGCGGTTTATGCTGTTATGTTACGTGAACCGGATGTGGCCACAACCATTCAATCCCATTGGTCCCTTTCCAGTAAACTGAAACCACAGCGAGTGACCGAGCAACGGAAATCGTTACGACCATGCAGCGGCCGTACACCATTCATTCTTGAACACTAAAACTCCCCAACGGTCCCCTAAAACCGCCCCAGCCCGACATTCCACCATTCCGCCGCTCCCCAAACCGCCTTACACCCCTGACATATTTTACCCCTCGGTCTATGTCTGACCCGCTGTGACCCTGCTCGTACAGGCAAACACTGCGAACACCTGAGCAGTCTGCGGTTCACGAGGAACGACTCCTACCTGGAGCTGGCGCCGCTCAAGTCTCTACCGACGGCCAACCTGACCCTGGTGGTGATGACGGAGACCCAGAGCGGAGTGCTGCTCTATCACGGCCGATCCCAGCATCTGGCTGTCGAGCTGTTCAAGGGACGGCTCAGGATTAGCTACGATGTGGGCAACTACCCCGTGTCAAACATGTTCAGGTGAGAAAATAAGAAGGAATGGTTACCTGAATAATGACGCTCAAGTCATATCTAAGGAATGGTAGGAAAGCAAGTCGGTTTGAGATGTGATGCTTTACACAGAAAGTGAGTAAGCAATGACATGACATGTCTTCATATCTTGTAAAATATTGTATCGTACCTTATATTTGAAGGATCTTTTGCTAAGTTAGTCCCTGACACAGCCTAACTCCCCTTCCCTTCCCACAGTTACGAGGTGATCAGCGACGGCCGCTCTCACACCATCGAGCTCCTCCTCGACCACAAGCGGCTCACGCTGCGTATTGATGGGGGTCAGACGCGCTCGATCGTCAACGAGGGCTCTCAGCAGTATATGAGGGTGAACGCGCCGCTCTACATCGGAGGCCTGCCGCGGAAGGTCGGCGTCAACGCCTACAGCCAGTGGCACCTGAGGGACATCTCCAGCTTCGGAGGTCAGAGCCGGGTGATGTGTACGGTTTTGCTGAGTAAAGCTATACGGAACGCTCAGGGGGGTGACACGGCTATTCGCGCAATGTATTAATTTATGGGCCGCGCGGGGCCTCGCGATGACGCGGCTGGAGGCAAGTGCTCAGCGCGCTAGGATACTTCTGGCGGGGCGGGGCGCTGAACGGTGTGCAATGAATGGGGTATGGTCGGGCAGACAGAGATGAGGTATTGAATTTGAATTGACATCAGCAATCGGGTGGGGAAGGAGAACGTTTCTAATCGAGCTTGGGATGGGGAAAGCCGAAAATATCGCGATCGGCTCATAGCTCAGACAGGGCCGGGTGCCGTACCATGTGTTGTATATTTAGGCTGGCAGACAGAGATGAGTTATTGGATTTAAATTCACCTTACCATCGGTTTCTGGTGGGGTTTGAAGACGTTTTTAGTCAAGCTCGGAGTGGGGCAACCCACTGGCGGATCCAGGGGAAGGCATTTGGGGCAAATGTCTTCCCCCACATTGGCAGCGCCCGAAATCGCTTTTCGAGAATCAGAGAAAACTTCACAACTTTTCTGAGGAAATGTTGGTTAATCACACTGCACAGCAGTGCGCAAGGAATCGAAATCCGAGTTTTTTTTAATTAATTCCGAGAAACCTTTTTGGGGTAAGCCCCCGCAGTGTCCAAGACCGCTTCCTGGATCCGCCAGTTGTGAATAAGTCACGGTCGATACCGAGCTTCGGCGGGACCAGGCGCTGTATACGTTGTTCTTTCAATGAAGAGGTGGACAGACACCTAGCCCCACATCCTACTGCTATGCCCGTGCTTCTGTGGGTGAAGCACTAAAGCATCACGGAATCCCACAGGACCTGCGAGTCGACGAGGTGGCCGCTTTGGCCGCCGGGTACTGCAGCTCCCTGGAGTTGCCTGGGACCGATGGCAAAACAACAGCTCCGGCGGTGCCCCTATGGGCCGTAGTAATTAGTGAATTCCTGTAATGTAGAGATCATATCCTCAATAATCTCCATTACCATTCTATATTCCTAAACAGTATGACAGAACAATTATGCTTGCCTACGTTCAGGCATTACCTCTGATGGTCATACGCCCAGTACAACATGTGTTGTCTGTCAAACAACAATCGACGACGGGATCCCTTCTCATCATCTCTTAAGCCATCGGTTGTCAATTCACCCACCCCGTTTCCCTAAAAATAGACGGTCAGATTCGGCCTTTACGACCCCTCTAGATTCGCCAGAGACGGGATCAGATCGCCGTTATTGCACCCGTCGGCCGTCTTAGTGTCTTTAATACTATATGACAGCTTCGACCACGGACGTCGGACGGGGTGATCGTTCCACGAATGTACGCACCATCCAGGCCTAGGATGCATCGAGGTTTAAAAGATTGCAGTCTGTAGATCAATCAACATAACAATGGTGGTATGCAACCACATTAAAATATCTCCCCGGCTCCCGTAACGTTCCAACGCCCCTCCGTTATGCATTCGCCTTGTGTGTCCGCCGAGCCGGCTTGCCTCCAATGACGTCATCGGCCGGCCGGCGGCGTTCAAGGTCAAACGGCTGGTGTCCTTACCTGGTATATAGGGCCTTGGGAACGCTATTGAATAGAGGTGGCAAAAGATGAAAATTTTGGGAACCAGACTCGAACCAGACCCGGCTGGACATTTATGGAACCAGTCAGACCCGGTCTTTAGTTGGAATCGGAACCAGTCGGACCCGTTCCCCAAACGTCAAGCAATACAAACTATTTGTAGGTATCATTAGTTGCATCATGTAAAACAGCCTTTTCCTCACTGGGAATGTTTATGAGCTACAGTGTGCTAAGAAATATACATCAGCAAATGTTTTCTTTCCGTTCACCTTATATTTTGCAATAATGTGTAGTGTGCAAGATGCATAGTTTATGGTAGGACCCGGTTGGACCCGTTAGAAAATTTCCAGGAACCAGTCTGGACCCATATGGGTCCAGACTGGTTCTTTGGACCGGGTCCTCGGGTCCACATTTTGCCACCTCTACTATTGAACCAAACAGAAAAGCAGACATGCATTTATCTTTACACAAACATTCAATCAAAGTGTTTTGTTTTGCCAATCCGCAACATTTCCATCGAATTCAGTAACGTGTATCTGCACCAGGCCCTATCATCGCCTCCCAGCCTGTACCAACCACCTCCCTCTTCTCCAGGCTGTCTGCAGCGGCTCTACATCGACGGCAGTCTCAGCGACTTCCACGAGACGCCCGGCCGGCGCCACGTCAAGCCGGGTTGCTCGGAGGACCTGCCGGGCCGGCCCGGGTACCAGACGCAGCAGCAGCAGCAGCAGCCGCCGCCGCCGGACCCCTGCCTGCCCAGCCCCTGCCTCAAGGGACGCTGCAAGAAGGTCGGGAGGGGCACCGACTTCAGGTGTCGCTGCCGGGCCGGCTGGGGCGGCAAACTCTGCGATCAGGGTAAGTGGAAAGAGCGTGCAAAGATGTCAAGCTGATATCGCTAATGTTTTGGTAATGCTTGCTGGCTTTTTTGATACATGTGCCATCCACCTTTCTGAAATGTGTTAGGTTAGGTTGCTTACATGCTCCATTCAGAAATTAAAGCAGGGTTTCGGAGTCGTGGTAGTGCTCTTCCGACTCCGACTCCGACTCCGGGCTCCTGACCGACTCCGACTTCGACTCCGACTCCGACTCTGGGTCTGATACAAAGGGCAATGGTGGCTGCCAAAATTCCGAGTGATATGACGCGCCATGCTAGGTGTCCAGAAAGTCCTGGCGCTTTTCAACATTTTTTTAAAGTAAATGCCTTTGGTCCATAGATACTCAGCAATACAAAAAACAATGACCAGGAACACCAAGCCACATGCTTCTGCTAAGTGCCCATTCATTGTACCACCGTCTGTGGCGACGACGGCCTCGACGCAAGGGCGGAAGCGCCTGCGGGTTTTGACGATGCAGGACATTTCCTGTCCTCCCATGCTGTCATGATGCGAGTCTTCAGCGACTCCAGGCTGGGATAAGAGGTGGCCTAGAGCTTAATTCTGCAAAACGCGTAGCATGCCTTAGTCGAGCGGGTTAAAGCTGGGATAATAAGGTGGCCTAATCTTATTTCACCACGGTGATCTGGTCCGCCGAGCTCCTCTGTCAGTTTGGTTTGGACGGCAGCGACGTTGTTGGAGGGCGCTCCGTGCTGTTGAAGTGCGAAATAACCCTTAGGGCAAGTCGCCTTGATTGTGGTGTCCATGAACCCCTCGTGGACCAGCCTGTCAGTCATTTATTTGGCCTTGACGAAGATGATGGAACATTTGCCTGTGTCCATCAGACCCCAGATTTTCTTCGATTGCCGCTGAAATGCTGCTTCGGTCTCACCAGCTTTGGCATACCGTGGTCGTAACTGTGTGAGAATATTTTCTAAGGAATTTTCGATCCGGAATGCACCTTTGCCTGCTCAAACGACGCCGGGAAGCGCCGCATCGCGCTGCAACTCGCGCCTCGTTCAAGCCGCACCGGCCTCAGCGACAAGGCGCATCTTCGCCCATATACCTAGCACTGAAAACGGTTTCAAGGTCATATTTACGCGACCCCTAGCTGAGCGGTGAACGAGGGGGGGGGTCATCAAATACAAAATGCTTGCCTACTAAATTATGACATAATTTGAAATTTTTAAGATGCAATGTTAGCTTTTCAGAACAAAAACAAGATGTGTGAAAAACACCTTATTTGTGATCACCGGAAACGAATTTTGTCGTGGGGCACTGGTTAAAAACAACTGAAAAGTGATAGCACGGATTGACTTCAGTTAACTTTCCGGAGTCGGAGTCGAGGCAGCTGGACCGACTCCGACTCCGACTCCTGGCTGCTTGCCACGACTCCGGGCGACTCCGACTCCGAAACCCTGAATTAAAGTACTCGACATCCGGAGATCCCAGTTTACAGGGAAGCAACCTTCATTTAAGTTTGCCGATTGACCTTCCCGTGCACTTCTAACTAACCCGCCCCTTCTCCCCACAGCACCCACGTGCCGCAAGAACACCTACAAGGAGTACGTGCGCGAGAACTCGTGCCGCTCCCGGCGGCCCGTGCGCAACGCCACGTGCGGCGGCTCGTGCAGCAACGCCTGCTGCCGGCCGCAGCGCTGGAGAACGCGTAAGGTGCGCATGCTCTGTCAAGACGGCACGCGCTACATCAAACAGCTGCAGATCGTCAAACGCTGCCGCTGCAGCCGTAAAAAGTGCCGCCGAGCCTGAGGCTCGAACCGGGAACTGAGCGGTGTTGTATTGTGCCGGCTAACTTACGACCTAAGTGGACGGGAGTGAGTGGACATTCAGTGCCAAGAACTACAGGCGCTTGTCGCCGGTCTTAGTGAAGTGTATGTCCGAACTCGAGTCCAAAATGGACCGATGGCGGCATGAGTGCGTCTCTTACGGTCCGGATTGCGTCCGGAATCACGAGTCCGAGCGGCGTGAGCCCGCCAGGAATCGTGAGTCCCGCGGGAGACGTCTGAGCGCGTGCCGACGGGCGGACGCGCCTGCAATCCCTCAGCACTAAATACCTGATCGTACTTAGTGGCTGCACATAGGATCTGATATTATTATTGATGTTGCGTTGTTTGCTCGAGCGGCTCGGTTGCGTACGCGGCTGAACCGGCAGTATTAGGCTCGTACTAAGCGGCTGGCGTGGCGCCCACCTGCGCTCTGACGCATGTGAAGTGAAGTGAGCGGACTAAGCGGCACAGCGCTGTCAAATCGGACGCGATATTTTAAGTAGCGATGTTACTGACTGCAGCTGACTCGTGCTGGGTGTTGTTGCGCCGCACGGGGCGTCCGGTTAGTCTTATGCAGCTCCTCGCGCGCGTTGTCGCCATGTGTGGTCTACTTGTTCAACTTCATTGCATTCATCAGAGATTAGGGTCGAGCGGTGGTAGGGTGGCCGATGATATGACCCGGCGACACTTCTATTTTTGTTGTAAATAATAACTAGAACGAGGTCGTCGTTGGGAGTTTTGCATGTTTTGGCTGCAATATATCTACCGCTGCTCGAATTCGGATTCCTTATGTATAAGTAATCTTCTTGCGTTGAGGTAATGATCCCCTTGAAAAAGTGAGCACTTGGAAAGTTTAAACTGAGCAGGATTTGAACCCGGAATGCTGGGTAGTCACGTAACCTGCTACGGCCGCACTGGAGGTGTTGCGGCACAGCATACTTTAAGGCGTATACTACTAGCGCCATCTAGGAACATCCACATAAGTACGGCTCAGCTCCGCTAACATTTCATTCGCCCGTAGCCGCACCGCGCTGTTCAGTTCTGTCCTGTCATACTGATCTTGTTTTCCCCGAATCCTATGACGTGAGTCGATAAATCAGTATCACACAAAGCACTCCTCGCTCTAGCTCGCCACCGTCAAACAGTTAACACACCACTCTTAAAACATACATTTATTATTTTCTGCGTTAGTTATAACATACAGGTACCCATTTGCTCTCTGACGATGAACGATGTCGGCAGGAGCGACTTTCACCGAAACTGGGCCGGCGGGGGCGGCACTGAAGGGGGTAGGTGACCCCGAAACGGTACCGACATGACCCTCCGCGCCGGGACGCGCCGCCGAGTGAGCCTGCTACCTTCAGATGTCCAGCTGCTGACCATAGTCTGTTTACCAATGGGCACCCACTGCTTAAACATCTATATATCGTAGACTTAAAGCTCAACGATGCACTAAGTGGCAACCTACCCGGAGTTGGGGTGCGAATGGTACGGGGCTGGAAAGCATATCAAACGGGGCTCCTACGTGGATTAATATTTACACCAGGGTGCCAGTCTGCCTGTTTGTATGTCTGTCTGTCCGTCGATTTGACACGGCTTCCGAACCAAACATGGCGTCTCTGCGGACATATTGCACATACAGGATAAACCAATTGTACTGATAGGTTAAATTTATGAGGGTAAAACTTAAAATTAACGAAAAACGACTGAGTCCGGCGCAGACCAGCTGGCCACACAGTCCGCGAACAATCGAACGCGACAGTTACAATCTCAAAACTTACAGTCTCGAAACTGTAACCGTATCTACGAGCAGTAGGCCTTAGCAATACCAGCAAAGTACCCAAAGAGCCCCAAAACCCAAGCGCACAACGAATACTTATCTAAAATGACTGGGGACAGGCAGATGGGTTGATGCAGGTGCCGAGCCGACGGGCCCGGTTCAGGTGCAGAGTGTCTCTCGCTCGCTCGCTCTCTCACTCACTCTCGCTCGGTGTGTATGTGTGTGTGCGTGGTGCGGACTGAGACACTCGTGCGGCGGAGGGTCCAGCCCGTCCGCGGCTGCCCGGGCGCAGCCAGGTGCCGCTACACTAGTGGGCTCTTGTGCCACCGTTCCACTGCCGACCGCGGAATAACACTCAGCGCTCAGCTCGCCATGAAAAACAAGACTAAGTCAAATTCCTGCAAAAATACAGAGCGCTCCATGGCTGCAGTCTCGAATGGGCCGCTCTACCGGCGGCATTTGTGCCACAGTTTGCGCACGCAGCTTTGGCACGAGTGGGGGAGTCCGCTCACGGCTGACGGCGGCGGCGGCGGCGGCGAGGGAGTCGGCGCGGCCGCGGCGCCCTCCGCCCGCGCGCCGCCCGCCACCAGACGGCTCCGGTCGTACAAAAACGCGCTGAGGTAACGAAACGCCGCGCGCGCGCTATCACAACCTCACGAGGCGTCTGCGTCGGTCCGCGGCGGCGCGGCGCCCTGCTCGGGCCGCTCGAGCGTGATCTGCACGCGCACCGGCTCCTCCTGCAGCTCGTCCTCGCCGTCCTCGCGCAGCTCGTGCGAGCTGCTGCTCGGACTGATGGGGATCATGGACTGGTACCAGTCGCGGTTGTCCTCCAGCGTGTCCAGGATGTCCTGGGCGTCCGGGTGCACCAGGTCGGCCCACGTCTCCCACAGAGGGTGCACGATGTAGTCCATGAAGCCCACCTGAGGGAGGAGGGGAGGGAGAGTCAGTGAGGTGTGGAGGGATGAGTGGGAAGTTTGATGCGAACCAACTTAAGCGGTATATTGCTAGTAGCATATTAGACAAGAGGTTATTTGAATTGGTGATGTCAAACGAAGTTACGTTGTTGGTACACCAGAATTTCCTTCTTTCAGCCTAATAATGTTTACCCTTGCAACAGCTGCATATTCTAAAATAAAAAATGCATATCGCACATCCGTCACATGCATTTAACTGATCTAAGAGGTTCTACGTCAAAACATCAACACACCACCAAACTAACGACCTCCAGTGCTCCAGTCCACACCATACGCACCTGCGACTTTTCCACGGTGGCGTTGTGCCGGTCACACATGGGTGAGATGTCCATGCCGATCTCCCGCTCCCGGTCGCCCTGGTGGAAGAACTCCTCCATAACGAGGCCCACCCAGCGCTGGTAGATCTCCAGCGGTTTGGTGGGGCTGCTCAGGTCAGAGCAGTGCACCATGTTCTGTAGGACCTGCGGGGGAGAGAGGGAGGGTCGGGTCAGTACAGAGAGGGGTAGAGGGTGGGAGACCCGAAGGAAGGAGGGAGAGGGAGAGAGAGGGAGAGGGGGTCAGTAGAGGGAGATGTGGAGGAACAGGGGACAGCGATCACCGCTGGATAGCAGCGGTAGATGAAGACATCTCAGGCAATGTTATCTTTGGTCACCATACGTTATGTTATCACAGGATATTGGTAAGTTACAGTTTCATAAATGCCCAATATTAGTCATATGACGCAATAATAGCTTCAGACTAGAATAACTTCAAAAGCAAAGCAGCTTGATAACCAGAACCATGAATATAAATCCCCAGTCAGTCTCCGCATTCTAAGGAGTTCTCTAGGACGAAATCACAAATTATCTCGAACAAAAATAAATCGCAGCTGAGTCAGTCTCATAAACATGGTTTAATTTCACAGAGTGGGCGTCCCGCAGGGCGAAACTAGCCCAGCATTCAGCCACTTGTGGGGCGCCGCTCCTATTTTTACACCGTGCGGCGTCACTGTCGCGGCTGAGAAGAAGCCCGCTTATGGCGCAGTGGGAGCTGAGCTCAGCCCACTGCGGCCACTGGCCCGCCGGAACTCAGCTGAGAGTGATAGATCACTCGGGGTTCGTAGATCTACGAACCCCGTTCCGCCCCGCCGCGGCAAGACGCAGTGACCTCAGGAGCGTCCCCGCCCCTCCCCCCGCCGGGCCACGGTTAACAGACGTCACTTGTTCCTGTCCAACGTCAAGTGGTGGTCTGGGACAGAGGCTGGACACTGGCCAACTGTGCAGCGTTTACGGCCAGTTACGCTGTGTGCAGTATTGTGCAACGAATTTACGTGTTTACCGCACAGATGGTTCTTATTGACAACAAGATGGCATCTTTACAGCGCAGCAGCCGGTTCAAACTTTCGATTAACCCGATAAAGTAATCGCGATCGCATGCACTACTGCCTATAAAAAATGTCGTGAAAGATTTCTAAACGGATCGAGTTATCCTTGATATCGCTTTAGAGATTCAACTCCAGCCTAGCATCCCTATGTAGTCTCCAGCCTTTCTACCACTAATCATGTAGAACACCGACCCTAGTTGTATGTAGCTGGGCTCACCTGTATCCGGTCAGTGTAGTTGTCGAGTAGCAGGACGCCGGACCCGGCCACCTTCTTCGTCTCCACCATCGTCTTCAGGTCGGCCAGCAGGCTCATGTGTTTCGACATGTCCGTGGCGAGGACCTGGCGGAAAACACAACGGCATTTATACATCGGCAGCTCAATGGTTTGGGACGTTTATATGAACCCCCACAAAGCGTTATAAAATTATGCAGACAAGATTATAGCATACTATAGAACATATGTTTATTTTTAACGTTACGATGCAACCCCTGAAAAGGAACTCAGGCCGAACATTTTAACAGTCGGAAGATAAAACGGCATCACGTTTAAGGAGCTGACGTGGTATCACGTTCACTGGTAAGGAGTTCAGCCGCATGCCTTCAGACATTCCATTTATCCCTTCACGTTGCAAGACCTATAATGCACCCATTTTAACCGTAAGTACCAAGCTTCAAGCCCACTGACCATGTCTATGACCATCTTCCGCAGCGACTGTCGCTGCTTCTTGCTGAGGTTGGCGAAGATGTCGCAGTTCTCATTCTGCAGCAGTTTGAAGGCCACGGCCAGGTGGTGGTTCTCCAGGACAGATTCGTCATTGTACATCAGCGCCAGTTCAGAGCCTGCGAAAAAGGAAAGAACAAACCAAAACTGTTAGAACAAGGCATCAGATATGGGTGGGTAGAACATAAGAGATATAACACGTACAATTTTTGACACCCATTGTAGCGAAAACGAGAGCAAGCTGGAATGCTGGACGTTTCATTCGGTGCCTAGAGTTTAGTAATTGGTTCACTGTAGAGGAAACAACATCATACAACAGAAGCAGCGAGGCATGCGGAGACCAAAATACAATGGAAACCAAAGACGAGACGGCAGATTCCATGAGTGGTTCATATACAGCTGTCGGCATGCCGGATTAGGGCCATCAGTATTGTGTCTGCATTAGTGGCGAGCGAGTGGCGCTTTCATCCAGCTCGCTGGAATGCATTTCAGGCAATATATCACGCTGAACATCCGAATTGCAGATGGTCTCGAGAGTGATGCAACATCTCGCTGTGACGAGTGGACGAAAACATACAATTATTAATAGATAGCATCCCCGAGGGACGCGCTGAGAATGAAACGTTCTAGATTCATCCACAAGCAACGAACGTAAAAAAGTTAACGTTCAGCGAAACAACACTCAGCCTACAGTGATCACTGATCAGCAATATATCCATAAGGTTAGAAATCTGCTCAGGTATGGTAAATGTCAGACAATCACCAACCCAGCACCACCACTAGCACCTCTTCCACCCCAGACCATCACCACCGTCACAATCACCGCCGCTGGCGCAGCCGCCGGTGCCTTCGATATGAGCGGATTAGGGTAGCCGGTCCATTGACAACGCGACTGTCAGTTCGGTAAGCCGACCTGACACTGTCAGCTCTCGGCTTGGTAAGCTGACACACGTGTCCGATCAGACGGGGCTGCTGACACGATCAGTCGGGGCTGCTGACACGATCAGACGGGTCAGCTGACACGATCAGACGGGGCTGCTGACACGATCAGTCGGGGCTGCTGACACGATCAGACGGGGCTGCTGACACGATCAGTCGGGGGAGGGGGAGGGAAGGCTGACACGGGCAGTCTGTGGAGCTGTGTCCACTTAGTCTAGACCATACTGTCACCAGCAGCCGGGAGTCGGAGCCTCGAGCAAGAGAGCCGGAGCCGGAGCCGCTGGAGCTGGAGCAGGGAGCCAAGAGCCGGGAGAAGGAGCTTCGGGAGCTAAGTTCATGCAAAGATGGTATAAAGGGAATTCGCAGGGGAAGATGCCTTGCGCTATACGGTGCAGAAACAGAGGGGTTAGGAAGGCATGGCGGGATGGAGAGAGGCAGTTAGTGTAGAAATGAGAAGAGCATGCATGTGATATAATAATAATTACAGGGCTGAGGTCAACAATTGAGCTCGTTGATTGGGATTTAGCTAGAAGTGATAGGTGGAACGGATCGAAATGCATGACTTATGACTGGTTATAGCATGAGACGCAAATGTCGATCACGGCCTCTGATTTTGACCGGTAACTACAGATTGGAGAGCTATCACCACGTCAACTGGTGACCCGAGGCTGGCTGATTAAACTAGCATCAGCGGCAGATGCTTTCCAAGAACTGCCAGCTGATCTAGAGGATCCGATTGACGCCGGGCCGTCAGTCTTCGGCAAGAAAGCCAGCAAAAATAAGCAGCAAATCTTCCAGCCGATATTTGTCTTCACTGACGTCAAGATGCTGATGCTAAGCTGGAATTAAAAAGGCGACAGAGCACAGTTGTGAAAAGAAAGCAGCGAGGGATTTCGCCATCCGATCGATTATCGCATATCATCGGACTCCGGTAAAACAGCCAAGTCTATCAACACCGTCAAACCTTGGGACCCAGCCAATTAAACTAAAAGATGAGGGCGCCGTGCGAAATGATGTTTGCCTCGCCGTATCCGAGTTCAACACCGCGGGTATCCCCACACCCCATTGCCGTACAATCACGTGCAATTATCACTCTGCACTCGGTACACGATGGTTCCATTTACTCGCCAGTGTCTACCTCCAATTGCTCGACAACAGAACGTACGTGATACGTCGTACAACTGGCAGTTGATCTCTATCCGGCGGTCCGGAGCGACGCGCTGAATCGACACACCTGGAGGGTTGCCAGATCAAACACCCAGCCGCGCTCCACACAGGCACACCAGCCAGTGTTTGTTGACCCCCGGATTCGCATCGGGGCCGAGCTTTCTGACAGCGGTGTACACAGCGGGGTTGGACGTCACGCCGACTCGCCTTCGAGGAATCAACACTTGTTTATCAACCGAGAATAAAGCATGGCATGCTCGTCCACTTCGATTCGTACTCACTATCGACTTAACTTAGTCCCTCTGTAATTTGGGTCTTGCAGCATCCCCTCACCGA